GATACATTCATGAAAAAAAATAGGAGACATGTACTGTAAAAATATTTTAATAGTATCAACGGCGAAAATATCAAACTATGATCTAATTAAAGTGTGTTTGCTAGGATGACGGACGTGTTCACACTCCGAAAAAGAACGTCCACCAGTGGTCCGTAATCCTGGTCATGGCTTCGGTCGCCAAGTGCCAACCCACACCTGGGCCTGCAAATGTAGTCCAAAATACGGCTTAGGAAAAGGATGTTCGTTGGACTTGAGCCCCAACGCTAGGTAGTTCGTAGAATATGATATTAATTATTAAGTCAAATATTTGAATGGATATGATATTGATCGGTTAGTTTTATTTATTATTATTATTGATGATTTTAAATTTAAAAATATTAGTTAGTTATATTTCATTTTTTTAAAAATTTTGAAATTTGGGTCAAATTCCTTGAAAGCCATATTCAACTGAGTTTTAAATGTCATGAAGGCAAACGGTGAGTTAAAAGAACTTGTACCCAACGCTCACCAATTGTGACATCAATTACATTGATAAATAACAAGTGGGTGTGGTGTATACTTTTCTTTTTCCCTAAATAGAAATGATAAATGTGTTAAAACTTTTGTGAAAGTGATATTTTCCGACATTATATCCTCATTGAAGAAGATACTGCTTTATTAGATTTGTCTTAGCTACTAGTACATCCCTCAATGCTCGTAATCAGTGATTCGGCGTTGGACAGCCCCCCACGAGTTGACAGTGACCAACATCAGTAGGAATATTAATTAGAATTGGGCATAACCATCATGTGCATGAGCTTAGAGCTGCGAGTTATTCCACTGATTAATTAAAATTAGCACAATATTTAGGACATAAGAGTCCATTGGTCATAATCAATCTTCTCATTCTTCCAATCTAGGGGACCAGGCGCTGGACATTTAGACCAACAGCATGGGCATCCAGCTTTAGCTAATATCTAATTTTAAAACGAATAATGATAAAGAATGATCACTCTTTAAAAGAATAATGAAAAGGATTAACATAGTATTATGTTATAAACACACGTAGTGGATCCATTCCCCCTAGACTAGATCATTTTATTTAATCCGGCAACTCAATACCAATATATGATGTAATATTTCATGCTTTAACAATCTTATGCTGCAACTCCCACTCAAAGCCCGTTGCTTCTTGTTTCCCATCACTAGCAATAGAGATCTCCATAGAGACGTCAACAGGTAAAGTAATAGTTAATTTTAAATCATTCAAATTATAACTTTATAAAAAATAAAATATTTAAATTTTATTAACTATCCGAATATTTTAAAAAATTATTACCCTAACTCTAATCTTAATATATTTTCAATACCCTATAATTACATTAATCAGTTTAAAATTTTGATTATGCAAAAAAATTATTAAAATTCAATTTATGGTATCCAATTATCTGAATCCAAATTCGTACTTGTATCCATATGTAATAATATTTCTCTTACATATTTTATATAATTTACTAATAATTAAATTCATAAAAACACACAAATAAATAAATTTAAATTTAAATAATTACAAATAAATAGTTCAAACATAATTAATAATGTTATAAGTTATAATTTTTATAATGTTAACATAAAATAGAAAGTAAATATGTTTATATTTAAAATATATATATATATACACACTAAAAGTATTTTAATATATATATGTAATACTAATTATATTCCTTTATAAATGAACTTAATATATATAAAATATATATATTAAAAGACATTACAAGTTAATTAATAATTATAGTTTCAAGAATGAATTTAATTAACTATATAAGTTTATTTTTAATTACATGAAATTTAAAAAAAATTAACTAGGTTTTAAAACTATTCTAATCTCACAACTTCTTTTAAGGTTTATATAAACAAATGTATATATATTATTATTAATAATTTTATAAGTTATAATTTATACAATGTTAACACAAAATAAAAAATAAATATGTTTATTTTAAAAAATATATATATATACAAAAAATATTTTAGTATATATATAATAGTAATTATGTTTCTTATTAATTAACACAATAGATAAACTATATATATTAAAAGATATTACAAGTTAATTAATATTCATAATTTTCTGAATTAAGTTAATTAACTATATGGATTTATCTTTAATCTCATGAAATTAAAAAAAAATAATTAAGTTCCAAAACTATTCTAATTTCAAAAACTCTTTAATTATATATATTATAAGTTTATATAAATAATGGTATATATATTATAATTAATAATTTTATAAGTTATAATTTTTTAATGTTAACATGAAATAGAATGTAAATATTTTTATATTTAAAAATATATATAATAGTAATTATATTCCTTTATAATATGATATGATATTCATATTATAAAAACATAATTAATAATTTAATACTTTTTTAATTTAAATATATTAATGTCATCACATTAATAATTAGAATAATTATACTTTTTATATATTTTTTAGTTTTTAACAAAAATAATTGTTTATAAAGTTAGTAAAAATTATAAATTTTAATTATTAAAATAATAATAAAATATTTATCAATGATAATCGAATTCAAATAACGAATACTCAAGCGATGGTAACTGAATCTTATCCAAACTTGATATGAATTGTGAAATCACTACTCAAACTTATTCCAAACCCATCCTAACCTATATAATGGGGTTGAATATCCATATATATCTTATAACAAGATACCTATTACCGTCCTTAACTAGCAACTTGAAAGTTCACCAATGGCACCATCAAGAGACTTCTTAAAACCACCATTGGAAATAGAAGTGTCAATATGAGTTGGCCAGGCCTGGCCCTTGTGGGTTGAGAAAATATGAGTTGGATTTGGTCAACTCATTTTTTACATGAGTCATCAAAACCCCAACCTAATCCATCCCTTACTAGTCCACGAGTCAGGTTGGGCCAATCTATTTTTTTTTAAATCATTTTTATAATTCTATCTAACAAACTTCCTATCAATAAAATTGGTTTATGATTTAATCTATAAATTGAATAATGAAAACATGTTATAAACAAATAAATTACATCAAATATAGATAAGTAAATAAATTATATAAATAAAGTTTTAATTTTTAACATAAATTACCATCTCATAAACATAAGTATATAACCAAATAATAGAAACTTTAAAACTTATTTATATCCTCCTTAATCCTCATCTTCAAATAAAATATTTAAATATTATTTAAATATTAATGATATTTCAAGATCTGAATTATTATTAATTTCATCTAATATTCATTGTCATAAAAAAAAAAGAGATAATAAATTTTAATTTAAACTAAAATTATTAACTTGACAAGTAAAAATTAAAAACATTAAAATATTTAAAGTAAGTAATACTATTAGTAATTAAATTATTAATTTTATATAATTAAATATATAAAATTATGAATTTTTTTTTTTTAGCTCACAAGGCTGACCCGTTTCAGTCTATCCCAACCCACTGATGAGATGGCCTGATTCATTTAGGCCCTATTCTATTATAGATCTAGATTTTGAAACTCAATCCACTTCATTTTAAATAAAAAATGAGTTCACTCAATAAGCTAAGCCCATTTTGACTGATCTGGCTGGAAAGATCCCTTGTGCATTGAGCCAAGCCGTAAAGTTCCTTTGATCTGTCCCCACGCTCCAACTGCACATATTCTCAATGTGGTTGAAGCTTCCTTGGCTAGATGGCTTAAAAGATGATAAAGCCTTATAATTGACAGTAGATTGCTCACATATAATGCCAAATCTGGTTGCCAATTGGGCGGAACAAGCCTTTCTCAATTGACATATTGGGCAGCTCTGGCGGATTTCACTGCTGGCCTTTTTGGCAACACAAAATAAGTTATCAGCCGAAGGCTTAAGCCCCGTCCCAACCCAACTCAAACCAAAGACCAAAGTTCAATGTAAAATTTACCTTTGCTCTTTTTATTTTTTCTAAATCAATTTTCAGTCATAAAAATATGTTCTGATCCTTTTAAACTTGAGATTTTCATTTCCCCTATGTGTTAAGGGATATAGATTTCAACCCTTAGCTCCATCATAACAATAAATTCAGCCCGTAGCAGTATTTTCATTACGCTTAAATGACTTATTTTGTATTTCATTAGAGTAAATCCTAAAAAACAAGTACAATTTGGGTTCCAAACAGTTAGTTCTACCAATTCACATAAACCATTAATGAGGAAACTTGTAGCTAATGGAAAAGACAAAACGTTTCATTTTCACTTTCTTACGCATATTTTCTAGGAAACCAAACAGAAACAAAATAGTAACGTCGAAATCCAAACACAATTTTCCCATAAAAATTCAACTTCTATTACATCATCGAAAAGCACAAAAACTGACGAGATCTAAAAATCATCTCTGTAAAAGACCACCTAATTCCTTTCCAAAAAAAAAAAACCCCACCCAATTAACCGCCAAAACCATAAAGGGTTCGGCCCTGTCTTTTCAAGGCATAAACCACATCCATAGCAGTTACCGTCTTCCTCCTGGCGTGCTCAGTATACGTAACCGCGTCGCGGATCACGTTTTCAAGGAAAATCTTGAGAACGCCTCGCGTTTCTTCATAAATAAGGCCGCTAATCCTCTTCACTCCGCCTCGTCGAGCCAACCTTCGAATTGCAGGCTTCGTGATCCCTTGAATGTTGTCTCTCAGTACTTTCCTGTGCCTCTTCGCTCCTCCCTTTCCCAATCCTTTGCCTCCCTTTCCACGGCCTGACATTTTCTACCTCTCAAAGCAAAATTTTGGTGGCTTTCTCTTTAACTTGGATTGGATTTGGTGAGGAAATGAGAGATATCCTGTGTATTTATAGAGTGAGAGCCTTTGATTTTTATCCGTTGGATGTTATTTTTAATCAACGGCTAAGAGAAACGATCCGTGTGATACGGTTTCCATTTGGCGCGGGTTCAACAGGAAGAGGAAGGTTTTTCCATTTTCGATTTCGGATTTCGAATTTTTTCCAAAGGCTAGTGGGGCACGTGAGATAAGCGTGATTTGAACGGAAAAAGAATTTGAAGGCCGGCCCGTGGCCCATTGGGGAACAACAAATTGGGCCTGTTGCAATTTAGATTTGGATCCTGTCACCGATTCGATTCATAAACTGGGGCCAGCTGTTAAAACCCGGCTCTGAGTCTGTTATAAAAACCCTAACCCTAACTTCGCTTCAGGGGTTTTTCTTTTCATTTCTATTCTGTAACAGAGCAGTTCAGAGCTTTGGTTTCTCTCCCATCATTTTCCACGATGGTATCCTCTCTTTTTCACTCCCCTTTAAATAAATGATACATTTATTATTGAATTGATTATGTGCACAGGAATTTTGCACATAGTTGTTTGTATCTCTTAAATCATTGGCATGGGAAGAATGTTAATATTTTATGTGATGAGTGATTAAATTTGAAACATTTGGTGGCAAAATTTTTGTGTTTCTAGTGAGTTGTGGCTTGAGTTTTTTAGGTGATGGGATGCACCAGTCAATTTAATCAAGAGTTGAGAAGTCAATTCTTACAAGTATTTAGGTGAATGTTATTCTTGCTTGAGTATAGTCTGATAAAGTGTCAATTTTTCTGCTTCTATTTAGCAATGCTTGAGGTGATTTAGGCTAAATGGCTTACACTACAGCCAACTTTTAATTCTCTTCTTGTACAGTTTTCTTCTGTGCTTTCTTGGTTTTAATTTGCTTAGGATTAGGATGAGCAAAGCTCATATTCCTGAGAGCCTTAAGTCATCAGTTTTTATGGATTTTGGCGGAAATGCTGTATTATGTGATTGCATCAGCCATCAAATGTTGCAACCATTAATCATTTGTGTCATATGTTCGAAATTTGGGAACCATGTGTTGCATATGATTTGAAAATTGTTCCAAGAACATTGCTTTGGAGGGCGCAAAATTGTCATTTCGTTGATAGATTTGTGTGAGAAAAATCAAAACTTCTGTATTGTAGGTGAACGTTCCTAAGACAAAGAAGACCTACTGTAAGAATAAGGAGTGCAAGAAGCACACCTTGCACAAAGTCACCCAATACAAAAAGGGGAAGGACAGTCTTGCTGCTCAAGGAAAGCGTCGTTATGATCGCAAACAATCAGGTTATGGTGGACAGACAAAGCCAGTTTTCCACAAGAAGGTAAAAGAGTTCTCTTTGATGACTTGTTCACCCTTGTGTGAATATGACTGTTACTGTGGGAAGAACATGAACAATTTGTGTACTACCATTATTTTAATCTCTTTCTATTCCATTTATGAATGGATTTCAAAATATTTTCTAACAGGCAAAGACTACTAAGAAGATTGTGCTGAGGCTACAGTGCCAGGCTTGCAAGCATGTGTCACAACACGCCATCAAGGTAATTAACTGCAAAACTTGTGCATTAGCTAGCCATTCTTAGATAGCCTTACCTCATTTGACAAATGCTAACTCTTTGTTGATACTGTTTCTGCAGAGATGCAAGCACTTTGAGATTGGAGGGGACAAGAAAGGCAAGGGGACATCCTTATTCTAAATGAATCATTTTTGTCACTATCTTATTGTTTCGCACTTGTTGTAACTGAAGCCAGCATTGAATTTTGTTGTTTACATTGCATTGTTGCTAATTTGGTAATCTCATTCCTAATGGTGTTTCCTAATCAATTTGATTTGATGGTATCAGTTTTTATTAGGATTAAAATTTAAATGTGATTTATATTTTCTCCAAGAGTTCTAGAGACACCGGTAAGTTGATTTTGCTCATATTTTTTTCCACATCATCCATTGGAGATAAGGAAAGGTTTTCTATAAACATCTGGTAAAAATACGGCAGGCATACTCACTTTTTGTCAAATATTAAGAGAACGCCATAACATCTTGTCGTTGACGCGTTCGAGAATCCTTTGCTTTAATAAATCGCATTGCTTAACGTACATCACATGACCAAAAGAGAAGGTTATGGGAGATCTCGAGGGATGTGATTGGATAATCTCATTCCTTGGAGATCAGAAAAAGTTTGATCAAGAAGAAGTCCGGAAGGAATTTTGCTTGTTTTATGTGATAAACTTGAAGATTGTGATCAAGAATGGCAAACATTTTTCACTTGTTGGCATTTAAGACCGAAGTGTTACTTTGTTCCTCAATTATGTAGGTATCTCTTGGCTCCAGTTGGCTGATGTTAGCCTCCTATCCTGAAGAACAGGACAATCCTCTTGTTCTGGTTCTTGTAGATAAATAAAATTTTCCTATTCATGCCAATTGAAATAAGATCCTTTTTTCATCACTATCAATTTCAATGTTCACGGACACCAAGAAGCAGGAATTCTCATAGTGTGTAATGAATAAGTAATAAGTGATCATGTAGACTTAATAAAGCATAATATAGTTGCAGTATTCTAACGGTTGGTTCAAAATTGTTTGCAATCACAATCTCAAATGCATGAAAGATAAAAGCCGTTGCACTAGGACATTGTTTGACAAACTGCATAACCTCCAAACAACATTATATGCATCTTCAACATTAAGAAAATTAGCTTCTTTAGAAGATTAATCATTAAAATAGAGTTTGCAGTACAAATTTCAGCTGCATAGATTTAAACCTGCATATGAACAAGCAGCATAAGAGGACACAAAATATTCCACTATAAATGAATTGTGTTTTTCAAATTTGAATACCTTCAGTTGCCTAAAACCGAATACTATAATAATAAACCAACCGGTAATTGGCCATAGACAAGCTAAAGGAATTTCAGTTTTCCATGGGACAGAGTCGACCTTGCATGCTGCAGTTTACATGTTGCTTTCTGTGTTCCTGTCAACCCAGAGCATGTATCGGCGGTGGCCCCTAAAGTAACTGCAAAGTAAAGGTAGATGGTACAGAGGAATGCTAAGAGTCCCAAAGCTGTTAACAGAAATCTATGCCTCTGGACAAGTGTTGACCAGCTGCCCAACTCATCTTTTTGGAATTGCTTCCTGATTGATCCTGACCTCCGATGGGGAGAAGATACAATGCCATCAAGAACCATAGCTTAGAGGCTAAAATTCCCTTGCCACCGTGACCTGATATCATGCAGCCCATTTGGTTCATCACCACATGTAAGAACATGCTCAAGGACAAAGAAAATAGTTTGTAACAACTACATTTGAAAAGACAGGAAGAACATGTCACGCTAAACCATTAACCTACTGACAAAACAATTTAAATAAAAGACAACAATCGGAAATATCTAATTTCTCAAAGGAAAAGACCTGAACAACAAGCCGTGCAAAACCATTCTTCTTAAATACTGTGGTCCAAACATCATAATAACCAAGGCAAAAATATCTTTACACTAATTAAACTCCAGTGCCTTCAGAATGAGAAATAAACACACCAGCTACCATTGAAATTCGACATCTAGATACACAAAAGTCATAATAGATTGACCAGTGCACGAGCGGGAATAAACAAATTCCAATTAAACTGATTGCTGGAGCTAATACACAGAAGCAATTTTATCAGTCTAACTAAAAACTCCTTTTTAAGACATCCAATCACACATACAATTAACTACTTGAACACATTATACAACAAAGACTAAATCTCCCATATCTAACAAGGCATATTTCCAAAATCCAAAAGGGTGACAGATTGACAACCTACAACAGCAAAATTATAAAGAAAATAATAATACCAGCAAGACTAGGATGCAAAATCTTTTGTGATGTCAACAGCACTATAAATTTTGAAACTAAGGTGCAAAATCTTTTGCGGTGTCAACAGCACTATGAATTTTGTTTAATTAGCTCACCAAGTGATTTCCCAAACCATTTCCTACCGATCCAATCCTAGCCTGAAGATTGAAAACATTGGATGTCCAAATGTCTCAACAGGCAGGAGAACATAATTGTCTAACAAATCATGTAACATCTCATAAATTAGCGTCGTCAATTCTCATATTCACAAAGAATAAATTTCTAAATTCTCTTTCACCTGAACACTATATTATGTTTTAATTATTTCTAATAAGACAGACACTGGACCAAAAATGTTCCCAGTTCTGTCAGATCATAAGAAATCCTTCCTATTCCTTAATCCCGCTAATGAAAACACGTTATCAACACAGATCCTTAAAAAGCCAAGAAGAGAAAAGCCTGAGGATCATGTCAAATCTACATGAAAAACATACTCACCACAAACATTCAACAACATTTAATTACCAATCCATATATCTATCTAAAAAATATCAAATTCAAAACCCTTCTCTATCCTATAAAAAATAAAAAACACCCAGATCTGTAAATGAATCAAAGAGTTAAAAAAGAAAACACTTACGGTTGACAAACGCAAGGTTGGATCAAAGGGAAGAAGGGAAAATGAGTATATTTCTTGATGCTTTCTCTTTATAATCACTCTTCTTCCCTCCCCTTTGTCTTCTCCTTATGTCACGGTGTAAGGGACGTTATAATAGAAAACAAAAGCAAGAGGTGCTTGAGCTTTATTGAGCAAACCCGTCACGAACAATGAAACGGAATAAAGGGTGTATTCATGGGTTAGGGAACCGTCGAGACCGTTATGAAGCGAAAAGCATTTTATTGGGCCAAATTTAGAGAGAAGGTTTAGACAAGCTTGGACGTTTGGAAACGTCCAAAGGCCGTTTAATTAGAAACTGGCCAAACCCGCGTACCGTTTGAAAGGGAAAGTGCGCTCCACCTGGCATTCTACTATTTCTGATTGTTTACTATTTTCTTAAGCTAGGTTCTAATCTTAGCTATTTTTTTTTCATTTTTTGTTTGAAATGAAAGTTGTAATCTTAATTATATTAACTAATTAACCATTTTAATTCTTTTTTTCTTCTCAAAAAAATCTCTGGGTTTTGTCGACTCCATCATGAACCACTATCATCTTTAATCCAACTATATATCTCTTATGGCTGTTGGCTTGTACAACATTTTGATTGTAATTAATAGTAATTTTTTTCAAAACTTACAAACCACCAAAAAATAAATAAATTAATAGTAATTTGACACATAACCATTTTATTTTCAAATGTAGTTAAACATTTAATTCATTAATTGATACATAATTCTCTTATCTAAAAAGTAAAATTTAAATCACTCTTCTCTCAATTATAAAAAAAAAAAATCATTTACAAATGAAGTTTTTTCTGTAATGCATTGTTGAACGATGAGAGTGATATTTGATATTGATTTTAAAAGTCAATTAATATTTTACATGTTTTTAAAAGCAATTTAAAATGATTGGTTTGGTTTGAGTTTTGCAAAATTGTCATTTGTGATTAAATACTCAATACAATTTTTGAAAGAAAAATATTTAAAATTGATCTAAACTTTTTTGAAATGTAAATTACAAGTTTTATTAAATAAGATATTTACAGAAAGTAAAACAATAGTGGAACTAGACAAAATTATTTAGTACACAATTCTTATTAAAGAAGAAGGTTCAAATCCTTATTTCAATTATAAAAAAATTCTCAACAAACGACAAATCCAAACCGTTCATTTTAGCACCGCCAACATTTCTAACGGTTGAGATTAGTGAATTACAGGATTTGTAATATACAGACAACCGCATATGGTTTTAAGCTCTGTATTCCGACTGAGAAAGCAATTCCAATTCTCTTTGGGTTCTTTGAGTCGTTCCTATTTTTCTTCGTGCGCGCCCACCGATCATCGTCTTCGGGTAACTTTATCTTCCTTAATTCGCTGGTAAGAGAAAATTAATCACAATCGATTATATTTTTTATTATTATCAAAAAGGGTTTTGAGTTTTTTTTTTTGGGATTGAATCTTCAACAATTGGGGTTTTCTGTGGAATTTATTTAGTTTTCCTCGTATTCTTAGAGATAAAGGTTTTTCTTTTCTTTTTCTATATTGATTTTTGTTGTTGTTGTTGTTGCAGCAGCAGTTAGGGTTTTGGATTTGGCAGGCTGTTTGTTTGTTGTCGTGGTTGGAAGAAGATGTGGGCTGCTTCATGCCTTGCATCGTGTTGTGCGGCATGCGCATGCGATGCGTGCCGCAGTGTGGTTTCGGGGATTAGCAGGAGGTCTGCAAGGATCGCCTACTGTGGCCTCTTTGCCCTTTCTTTGATTGTTTCCTGGATCCTTCGTGAGGTTGCCGCCCCTCTCATGGAGAAGCTCCCTTGTAAGTTTCCTTGAAATTTGCTTTTTATTTATTTGGTTTTGATTATTACTAAATTTCGTCGATTTCTTAGTGTTATTTGTTACTCGGAGCATAATTTGTTTGTTTTGAGATTCTAACGCCAATCGTGGTTAATGTTTGAATGCCCAAATGATGGTGCAAAAGATTCAATACTATCCTGGCATTGACATATTCGATGGGCAGGGAAGTCAAATGGCTTTGGTTTTTTAGCGCAGTCATTTGTCTAATGAGCATTGAGTTACTCTGAGCTAAATGTAACTTAGACATGCTCTGTTAATGTATTGGGTATTTTTAGGGAATCTGAAGAGTGCTCAGATTTCCATGTGAATCCTGACATCTATAACCATGTTATGGTTCTGTTATATTGAATCAAACCTGTTTCCTGGATGAATTGTGGGCTTGTCCTTCTACACTTTTTTTCTTTGAGTGGCTTGGTAACTGTTATTCATAACTCATCTTTCCTGGATCAGGCTGCCACAATTAGATTGTCTTCAGCTATTGATATTTGGCCCCATATTTAATGTATTTAATGTTTTACACCTTTCTTGGTGGGGAAAGGTGAGAGTGTTGGTTATGTCTTGCATATACTTAGTTTGCTGATTTAATTAATATTATATTGTTATTTATGCAGGGATCAATCATTTTCACAAAACACCAAACAGGGAATGGTTTGAAACAGACGCGGTGCTAAGGGTTAGCTTGGGAAATTTTTTGTTTTTCACTATCCTGGCAGTTTTAATGGTTGGTGTGAAAAATCAGAGGGATCCTCGTGATGGTTTGCACCATGGTGGATGGATGGTGAAAGTCATCTGCTGGTTCATTTTAGTGATCTTAATGTTTTTTGTTCCAAATGAGATTATCAGCTTCTATGGTAAGCAACATCATGTACACAGTTCATTTTACTAAATTAAGAGTACCATCCTTTTCAAAACTCTTACATGATATTGTAGATAATGTTCTTACAGAGCAGTTGTAAATGATTGGAGGAAATAACAATTTGGCTAAAATCACATCTAGTTTGACGTAATGTTGCATTTGCAGAGACGATATCAAAGTTTGGCTCAGGACTGTTTCTTTTGGTTCAAGTTGTGCTGTTACTTGACTTTGTTCATGGATGGAATGACAAATGGGTTGGATATGATGAGCAGTTCTGGTGAGTTTTACTTTTGTGAGCGTTTTTGGTACCTCTTTTTTGTATATAGATGACATATACTTCTTTTTCCTCTATAGGTACGTTGCACTGTTTGTTGTTTCACTTGTTTGTTATTTGGGGACATTGGGCTTCTCTGGACTTCTCTTCCACTGGTTCACACCATCTGGACAGGATTGTGGGCTCAATACATTCTTTATTGTGATGACCTTGATTCTTGTTCTCTTGTTTGCCATAGTTGCACTGCATCCTGCAGTAAGTCTTTACTTTTGATTTACACTTTACACAATCTTAATAGCTCATGGATTATCAGTTCTATTGGTTTTCTTTTATTTTGTTTGCATGGATTATAAGTGCATGAGTTCATAATTAATTGGAGTAAAACTGATGCCACACTGTGCAAAATTTCTCATCTCTTTCCTGCAGAACAGCTAGATCTCTTGTGGATTATATACCTTGGAAATTGGCTGGCCTTAGCTTGAGTTGATGGCCCCAGTTAGATAAATGAGACTGTTTCCATGATTGATAAATTAGATCTTCCTTTTCAAACATAAGATGATTGATAAGCATGTAGACATTGCAAACATGTTTTCTGTCTTGTTGCAAATAATGGATATAGAACCAACATATGGATGGATATATTGAAAAGAGGGCTTAGATTGGAAAACCATTTTAATTTTAAACTTTGTGAGAATGCTCCTTCTTGTGTTCCATAAAGTTGAAATGTTGAGGTCTCTTATCTCTCTTTCTTATCATATCATTAACATTTTTTTGAAAAAAGGAAAGATAATGAATAGGATTTTACCACTGTTTCTAGTGCCATATTTTGTAGCATTTACATGAATTCTTACAATCTATAGAGATGCTTTTTGCTCATTCCTAATATATATATCTCTATGATTTCTAGGTTGGTGGTAGCATTTTGCCAGCTTCAGTTATATCACTGTACTGCATGTACCTTTGCTACAGTGGGCTTGCAAGCGAACCAAGAGATTATGAATGCAATGGTCTTCACAAGCATTCTAAAGCAATTTCTACTGGCACCCTGACCTTCGGTCTGCTTACCACTGTCCTATCAGTTGTCTATTCTGCTGTTCGCGCTGGGTCCTCTACTACTCTGCTCTCCCCACCAAGTTCACCTCGTGCAGGTATTGCTAACAAAAATATTCAATCTTTATACCATACACCATTAAAATAACTGCTTATGATGATAATATTTCTGTTTTTAAAATTTGAGCCAAGAGTTGTCTATAAGTTTTATGATTTTGGGATGAGGATTGAGGGTAGGTAAAAAGAAACCATGTTCCTTACACTTTATGAATATTTTTAAGAATTTGGGGTTAGCTTCTCTCTCTCGCCTCCAACTCTCACCCCCTCCCCCCCTTCCCCGTCTTTCTTGCTGCGGTTAACTTGTTAGGATCTTTTTTGAGGGTAAAATTAGAAAAATAAGTAGCATAAGTTGAGAGTACAATTTAACATTCTGTTTTAATGGGTGAAGGTGCTGGAAAGCCTTTGCTTCCATTGGACAAGGCAGATGAGCAGGAAGAAAAGGAGAAGAATAAGCCAGTGACGTATTCATACGCCTTCTTCCACATCATCTTTTCTCTTGCAAGTATGTATTCAGCAATGCTTTTGACTGGATGGTCAACCTCGGTTGGGGAGAGCGGTAAGTTGGTGGATGTGGGGTGGCCATCTGTTTGGGTTCGGATTGTAACTGCGTGGGCAACTGCAGGTCTTTATATCTGGTCTCTGGTTGCTCCTATTCTGTTCCCAGAGAGGGAGTTCTAAATTTCCAAAGAGAATTTGCAATAAATTTACTATGTATATGTGTGCGATCGCAGACGGGTTTACATTCAAAAGTTTCTAAGTTGAACTGAGATGGTATTGGGGTACATTTAATCTGTGTATGTGTGTCATCGGTGCAGGATTGCTCCCACCGAAAACTTACAAACCTTGTTGATAATATTTTCATAATGTAGTTGTTATCACAAGTTTGAAATAAGTTTTCCTTTTGCTTCCCATTTAAAGAATGTTTACGAAAACAGAAGCAAAAAGTGGGAATGCAGAATATCCGAAACAGATGTTGATCTGAATATCAATACCAAAAACGCCAATCAGGTTATATGTTCAGTGAAAACTAAAATAAAATGAATTTTGTTAAAGCCTATATCAGAAGCAATTGTGATAGAACACCCAATTAGTTTCCACGCTTAATCCCAAACGGTACCCAAAGTAGACATGTCAACACATAACTCAGATCCATCTAAGTCGACCAAAACTATGAATCAAATAAGGTAAGATTCCCCCCTCAATCCTCAAAATCTCCAGCATTTTCCAGTAAATAGTTTGCTGCCAATTCCTCATTGCGATCACAAGCCAAAAAGGCTTCAATGACGAGTGCTCTATCAAATCCCATTGCTTCAAGCTACAGACATTAAGGAAAATAGTTAAAAAGTTTATAAAGAGAAACCCAAATAAAATAGAAAAAGAAAGGCAACTGAATTGCTTACTCGTTCAATAGCCTCCTGTTCTGCTGGGGTGACATTGATAGCATGAGGCATGTCTTGTTCAGCCTGATCAAATATATCCCTGAAGCACCAATTCAATTTTAACGTTATTGATGATGCTAAGTCAATGAATAGATAGCATATACCTTTAATGATTCAGAAATACTTCTGTTAAATTCAATAATTTCTACTACCACGCTTTTAGTTAGAGTTTTAAAACGTCAAAATTAAACAGAATTAATTAATGGTGAATAAAAAGACAGTTATTACAGAGCAAAATAAGATAAATTAACTAGCCTTCACATCTATCTTAAATAAAACAATAGATGCTTCATCAAATTTAGGTGATATCCAGTAAGTACTCACCCTTCAGAACCTTCAAGAGGTTCATTTATTAGCTGAAGAAACTCTGCATGATGCTCTTGAATTAGTCTTAAAAGCTGGGGGTTTTGCTTTCCAAGCTCCTGTAGCATGGGCTGTAACAGAGGAGCAGATCAAATCCAGAACAATTAAAACCATTGACGTTTAACTAGTGAAAACATAGACATGCAAACCTGTAGAATTTGTGGGTTTGATTGCACCATAGAACGCAATGCTTGGAACTAAAATGCAAACAAAGATGCACTTAGTATTCCATATGTCAAAGAACTAAAAATCTTAAGAGTTATAAGAAAGCAAAAGACCAATAATGATATCACAAGAGTACACCTGTTGGTTGTTTCTGAGGAAATCTAGGGAGCCAAGGCCACCAGCACCAGCACCAGAAAGTGCTTCCTAGTATCACAGCACGTCAGGAGAAAAAAAAAACCAGCACATACAAAAATTAACAACAATTTGCACAAGAGTTATAAATTTACCTGAGGAAACATATTTAAAGGCGATGAATTAGGAGCCCCTGAAACAGGAGCAGCAGGGGCTGCACCAGTTTCAGTATTCTGACTTGTAGGAAAACGACCCACTGGCACAGCCACTTCTGCTGATTCAGGAATCCCCTGAAGATAAAATAGCATCATAACAACATGTAGACCAATGTAGTAGTTTACATTAAAATTCTAGCCTTAGATACAGTCATAAAGTTTTTTGACATACGGAATATAGATAATCCACTGCTCGCTCTGGGTTATTATAAGCAGCTCGAAGTGCACGAGTTACTGTTTCTTTATCCCAATTGCCACCACCCATATCCATCAATTGCTGAATAGTCTGTTCTAGATTATTTCCAGCAACTAAATTCGAAGCAGCTTGACTATAGGTATCAATATTTGGACTGCAACAAGTTAACATAATATTTGTGCCATTACTTTCACAATGTTCACAAAATTTCAAAAAGGTGGTGTGGGAGAGAGAGAGAGAGAGAGAGCAACTTTTCTGGCTTCAATTAAGGGAGTGGCAACTTGTCAACCTTCAGTAATTAGACATGGAAGAAAATAAAATGCCAACTTTCCAGCAGCAACATACCTATTCTTGTAGGGAAGTAATGAAATGACTGAATCTTCATAGATAATGTCAGGCATGTTCAATTACAACAAAAAACAAAAAAGATAAGAATAGGCACTGGGGAATGTAAATACTAACTGCTATTCCGCTTGTTTATCAGCCATGTTTGATCTTTTCCCATTTTCGAAATGAGGCAGTAATAAAGTTCTTTCAAGAGGTTGGAAATACCAACCAAAAGGAAATCAAAGTTATACCTATCAACTCCTATTTTCTTATAACCTTTCCTTGATAAGCAAAAACTAATCATAGTTGGCTCTAAATACTTGTCCATCACAACATTTAATAGCATGAGATCCATGCACATAATTTCAAGCAACTATTGACCTGATAGACAGATAATTTGAAGATAGACCACATACTTAGCTGTTGCAGTATCTGAAGCAGATGTGGTGCCCTTCGAGGCGCTACAATGAAAGAAATTATGATGTGCATAAGAATTTAAAAGGGGCAAGTTCTTGAAAGAGGAAGAGAAGTTGCTGAATGAACTTACGGTGCTTGTGCAGGAGCTTCAGAAGCAGGGGCAGGATTAGAAGCAGGTGCAGTTATAGATGGAGTTGATGAAGCAGGCTGTTACAGAAGACAATAAAAAATTTGTTTATATATTGACATGAAACAAAAACATAACGCTCAACCTATCAAAAGAAATAAATAAGAAGGAAACCTGAGCAGATGAGGTGCCAGCTGAACCCAACGATTTGCTCTGTAAGAACAGCCAAAGAATTGAAAATATATAAGGCACAATACAAACATAAATGCATACAAAGAGCTCATGCTAAACCGGGATTTTCTAAATTTATTTGGAGAAATCAAATTCTGGAGCTAACAAAAAGCAATCATTAAAGACTCCTTACTGCTTGTCTTTTTTTTTTTTTGCTAAATATTCAAACAACCGAGGCAGCTTGCGAATTGGAAGTGCAAGCAAACTTGCAAAATCTATAATCCAATCAAATCCCACATTCATTTCGGTAAATTCATATTCAAATTACCAAAATTAACCATCCATATTTTAGCTACTAACGACAATATATTTTTTAACTAACCAAAATATATATTACTCAAAACTCTTTTTCATCAAATTCCCATAGTATAGATCATACCATATATGAAATTAACTACCAAAGTCGAAAAGACTAGAAAAGCATAAAACTTAAAAATAATACATTAATTAAAAGATTTCCCAACGTATTAAGAAAAATAAAAAAATTTCCTTAAAAAGATATACCTTGCTGAGCATGACAACAAGAAAACCATCCTCGGAGACTTTGTTATCAGCTAAGGTAGTTTCATCTTTCAAAACCTTCCCATTATGAATCAAAAGCTGCTGCCCACATGGGTAATTGTCTTTCCCTTGTACATCTTCTATGTTTTTCTTCACAGCCATAACCTAATAAAAAAAATCAAACTTTAAGCCAACATTTTAACCCAAATAATAAAATAATTGAATAGCAATGAAAGGGAAAGTGAGAATAAAAGAATAGAAGAGAAAGGGGATTACGGTGTCGTTAGGCTGAACCCTAATTTCAAAGTGACTGCCTTTGAGGGTTTTGACGGTGAGCTTCATTTCGGCGAGTTGTGGAAGGGAGAACGGTACAACGGCAGCGTTTTTTGGATTTGAGATTTGAATAACAGAAATAGAAAGAGAGAACGGGAACCCTAGGAAGTGGTTTTTATAGGGATCCAGAGAGAATCAGAATAAAGAGAGAAAGAAAGAGAGAGACACAGAGAGAGGCAGAGAGGCCTTTGTTGCAGAGAATGAGGCAGCAGCTCCTAGATTTTGCCTTCGCCGTTTGGGTCTCCCTGCTCCGTGCACTGCACGTGACCAATATTTTTATAACTAGTACTATTTTTTTTTCTCTATAACTGATACTAGTATTTATTTATTTATTTATGATTTAACGTATTCCCAAATTAATATTTTACTCATGCATATGTAGAAATTAATATCGCACTATGAAAATGTCGAAATTAATATCATTGTTGTGTATATATAGAACTTAATATAATACCTATGTATGTATAAAAATTAATATCATAATGTGTGTGTTTGTAAATTAATATCAATTCTATGTATGTCTGAGAATTAATACCAAATCGGTGTATGTTTGGAAGTTAATATCATTCCTGTGTATATGTGTAAATGAATATCAAATCTTTGCATGTGAGGAACTTAAGGAATGCAGTGGAGAGAAAAAAGGGAGAGGAGAGGATAGGGACAGGGGAAAGGAGAGAATAGAGAGAAAGAGTCCATGGTTGAGAGACGAAAGAAGGGAGGAGGCAGAGAGCGCAACACCGGTACCAGCGACGGCCAAGGAGCGGAGGAGCGACGGAGGGAAAAAGGAAAGAGAGAGAGTGCACTCTAAATAAACACACAGATTAAGCCTGATTTAAGGCACTTCTTTTTACCGTCGAACCCGTTTTTGACTTTTCCAATGTTAACCCTTTTGACATATTTCTAAATTTCCGTTTAATTAATATTTTTATTATTTATTTTTAATCAAAGACCAGTAGTTTCTTTGGTTTAAAATGCCTTAGTAAGGAAAGAAATTTAATACCAATTTCGTCCCTCTTCCCAGCGTATACGGGCATCCTATATAGCTGGTCCAAATTAATGGTACCAAAAAATTTGGCCAAATTGGGGCACGGTGGCATCCTATCAAGTGAAAACGCTTAGCCAAAATGCACTGCACCAACTGCTAACAACGGTGCTCTAACCATTTAAAACAAATCCATTAGATGAGACCTAATCACTTTTTTTGTTATAATTAAGGTTGATTTAGCCTAAAAACTTTAATTCTAAATTGGACTTTGACTGCCTTTTTTTTTTTTTTGGGTTTTGATTTGCCAATTTTAACATTTTTCTAAATTGCTTGTTTTTACTATATATTTCTAATTTTTATTTGTTATCTTTTTTAATTCTTTTGAAAAAAAATGAAGGTCAATTAAATTTAATTAATTATTTGTTTTTGTTTTTTAAAAAAAGAAAAAGAAAAAAAGGCACATCAGGAACAGAAAAAGGGAAAAGAACCTAGGAAAGGAAAGACAGAGAAAGCAAACACAAGTGGCGGGATTCCTGCATGCAAACGTTATTTCCCAGTTTGAGCGGCGATCCGATAGCCTCGCTGTCTTTCTTTGTCTCTCTTTCTCTCACGAGAAAGCAAAGACAACAAGCCCTCTCACCAATGTCTCTTCCTTTCTCTTTCTGATTCCTTTTCACTCTCTCTCATGTGAATACATTGCACATTAATCATTTCCCTTCAACTTTTTGGTTTCATGACATTAATAAAAACTTTCTTCCTGTAAACTTCTACTCAAAGAACCCTTTTTTTTATTATTTTCTTTTCTATGCTTCACTTTTTATATACAAAGTTTTACGCCTTATGTTTGTTTCTTATGGTTTCTTTATGCAGAGATATTTTTGTTTTGGAAAATGGGATGTGGGTTCTGAGATGCTACATTTTTAAGGGTTTCAGCAGACTTCAGGTTGCCATATGACTCTTCTTTTGGGGAAGCTTTTGGATGTTTTATATGGTATATAAATGAATGTGAAATTAAATACATATGCATTATTGTGTTTATATGGTATTTTATTATTAAGTTTTGGTTTAATTTTTTATTAAAAATTGGATTCGTATGGGGATCTCTTTCTAGAGACTTGAGCCGCCTTTGCTTGGTATTGAAGAGAATTGAGGTCAGCTTTGATATGATTCCATTAGTCCCCGTTGATTTTTCAACATTAGATGTTATCTTCTAATAAGGTGCAAACGTTTTTATTGCTATTATTATTAGTATCTATAATGGTTTTGCTTTGAATTTATGCCCTTTCGAGATTCGCTGCCAAGTTTTGTTTTTTAATATTGGAAGAAGATTGAAAGCTGTGTTTTGATTTTCTGAAAAAAAATTAAGGATACATTGTGATTCTTTCATAGTGAAGGGGAGGTCTAAATTATAATGGAGAAGAAGAAGTATCCAATTGGGCCGGAGAATTATACACTGCATGAGGAGGTGGGACAGGGTGTTAGTGCTTCCGTGCACCGTGCTGTCTGTACACCCTTCAATGAGATTGTTGCAATCAAAATTCTTGATTTTGAACGCGATAACTGTGATCTGGTAATTCCTTCATTCTAATTCTGCTACTGGTTTTATATTTTAGTTATTTTCATTTTGGGGGTCAAATTTTGGTTTATTTTCACCGCTTCATATACTGCATTTTGTTTTTTTCTCATTTGTTATCTGAATCGGGTTAAATGTTGTGTTGAACTGGATCAATATAAAAAATTACTGTTATTTCTTTTTACCTTTGATTCTTGTTTGCTCTGGCTCTTTATCTTTGAAGAACTTAGAAAGGATGTCATTGCTGTGTTTTTGTGATTGTTAAGAGTTGATGTCGGATTTCTGTAGATTGCAGCACATCTTCTATTGGAGATCTATTGAGAATTTGATGTTTTATTTTCTGAGAAAGGAACATTGATATTTTAATTGGCCCTTTATAGAATTGATCACTTGAAAATTAATGAAGTTTGTGCCTTATGTTATCTTCATGGTCAATACAGCATGCAGTTAGTTAACATTCTGCAATTGTATTCAGACAATCTTGATTGCCTACTTGAGCTTGGCTCAGCATTTTCCTCTTGATTAAGTAGATACAGATTGTTAATATCTGCTTGAAGAGCATAGATAGGTAGATTGTTAAAGTGTTACATGTTCGTGTCGTAATGGGACTTCTCCCTTAATAGATGCTGTAAATGCTGGTGCATTTGGTCAGCCCAAATTCTATCAATATGTTGAAAGTTACATGGAACTTAAAGGCATAGATCCATCATATTCCTGGGATCATTGCTGATGCAAATCTTTTTAATGCATACAATAATTTCAGTTTGGCAGAGTTTGTTTGCATCAAACTTGATTGTTCCAAAGTCTTCAATACTAGTTCTGCCTTTACTTTAAAGGGCTTTTCTTATTCCTGTTTGGCTTTTCAGCTTGTGACAATTACTAGTTATTTTGACATTGTTCTTGTAATGTGCTTTTGCAGAATAACATCTCTCGTGAGGCACAAACAATGATATTGGTTGACCATCCAAATGTTCTTAAATCACATTGCTCCTTTGTCAGTGATCATAATCTATGGGTTGTCATGCCATACATGGCTGGGGGATCTTGTCTTCATATACTGAAGGCTGCCTACCCAGATGGTTTTGAGGAGGTAGTTATAGCCACAATACTTCGTGAAGTGTTGAAAGGTTTAGAGTATCTTCATCATCATGGGCACATACATCGGGATGTTAAAGTAAGTACTTGCTCTTTGTCATGATTTATTGCATAATTATTTTATCTCTAATTCTCTAGAATTGAGCAGTTTAAGTTTGGAAGTTAAGATTTACATACATATTGAAACTTGGTAAGTGCATATAATATTTTCTCTAAGACAGGTTCTGATTTCTGTGATATATATTTGAGTTAGTTATTTAGTGTTGTTATCTGGAAAAAATGGATTATCTTGATTATTGGGTTGTGAACTCCATTAATTTGGATTAATGTTCATGTAGCTGTTTTTTATGTGAATATGAAATGTACTTTATTTCTTACTTGCTCAATGTTCTTTTTAATAGGCTGGGAATATTCTCATTGACTCACGCGGTGCAATCAAGCTGGGAGACTTTGGTGTTTCAGCTTGCATGTTTGATTCAGGTGATAGGCAACGCATGAGGAATACATTTGTGGGGACGCCTTGCTGGTTTGTTTACATCATTATGTCTATATTCCTTTAAGTTTCTAGTTCTTACAATCCTGAGTGCCAAATAATTTTTTGATTAATTTGGGCTTGTTATATTCTTATTTAAACCGTAGAAATGTAGATTTCAGAATAATCAGCTAGATCCAGTTGATAAAGCATCTTAATTTTGAAGATGTCACACTGGATTTACTATGTTTCTGTGTGAGTAGCATGTTTTAATGCTTTTTATCATCTATGGTCTAATTTCTTCTACATATTTGCAGGATGGCACCTGAGGTTATGGAGCAACTGCATGGTTATGACTTCAAGTCAGTCTATTGTTTTCTAAAAAAACATCTCTGGTTCATGCTCCTTAGGTTGCATCATGTTGATGTTTATTTGGCAAAATCCCTGCAGGGCTGATATCTGGTCTTTTGGTATAACTGCACTGGAGCTTGCTCATGGGCATGCTCCATTTTCGAAATATCCTCCAATGAAGGTGGATAACTTGTGTAACCCTCCTTGCTACAATTATGGTTTTCTATTGAACACCAAAAATTATTCTGATTAAAAGCATATCTATTGTTCTTAGGTATTGCTTATGACCTTGCAAAATGCACCTCCAGGCCTAGATTATGAAAGAGATAGGAAGTTTTCTAAGGTAGGGTTTAACCAATCCAACTTATTTAGTAGTTGATAGTAATTAGATAAAGTGGTGTGTTAATTCTGTGTTTCTCTTCTCTCGTCAGTCTTTCAAGCAAATGATTGCTAGCTGCTTGGTGAAAGATCCTTTAAAAAGACCTTCAGCAAAGAAGTTACTTAAACATTCTTTTTTTAAGCAAGCTAGGTCAAATGATTATATAGCACGGACACTTCTGGATGGATTGCCTGCTCTTGGTGACCGTATCCAGGCATTAAAGGTTAGCATGCTACTTTTAGCCATATGTCTCTTAATTTGTATCAGTAAGCTCTCGTAATGTTTCAGTTTCCATCTTATACTAACAACTGCTATCATTTTGAAATATAGAGAAAGGAAGAAGATATGCTTGCACAAAAGAAAATGCCAGATGGTGAAAAGGAAGAACTATCACAGGTTAGAACTTTAAAAAATATACTAAACAAAGTGGTCTTTATAAGGCCCTTGTGCAATTGCTCACAGCAACATCTTCTAGATTCTTGTTGTTTGCTTGTTTGTTTTATTTGGGTTTTCTTTATGAGACTTGCTATATCATCTGGTGGTATAATGGATGCATTAATAGTCTTTCAAAGAGAAAATTTTTTATTTTCCCCTTGAAAAACTAGCTGTGTTTTGACAGTGGCAATCAGTCATGATTATTGAATTCAAATTTTTTGTTAGATTCATAATTACCTGAAGTCAGTCCTGGAGTGTGGATTTGGACTGCAATATTATACCTGTGAAACTGTGATTGGCAATAAGAAAATCAATATTTAATTTGTGAATTATTATTTCACATATATGTGTTTTACTCTATTTTATCCTAGATTTGATGTTCTAAATTCTTGCTCACTGGTGCAATATCTTATACAAGAATATGCCTACTGGCTGGGATTTTCAAGATCCAAGTTCATGATTTATCTATGCCTTTGTAATTATGTACAGAATGAATATAAACGTGGGATCAGTGGATGGAATTTCAATCTTGAGGATATGAAAGCTCAGGCTTCCCTGGTATAGTAATGGTTTTCCTTTCCCCTTTAAATTTTTTAGGGTTTTTAAAGTGCTTTTAGAACTCGTCATATGCCTCTTTTCTTCCTTTATCAGATTCAGGATGAGGACCTTATAGCTGACACTAACCAAGGAGGGAGCTCAAGTTCTTTGTCTACCCTTGATGGACAAGATAAGCAATCAGAATGCCAAACCTCTTCCCAACCTATAGACAAGGTATTTCAATGTATACCCTTGTTTTGGCAGGTTTGTTACTGGGAAAGAGGTCTTTATTTGTTTTGTTGTTGTATGGCTTGTGGTTGGTCTTTTCTACTTCTTTTCTCCAAGATCCTTTTTTTGTAGTACATGATGGTCTAGCATCCACAGGAAGATAATGATCCGGTCCAGAATCAACCAACTCCTGTTGCTGCTGTTGAACCAGCAATAAATATTGCCGAGTATGTTATTTAGATATTAGACAGTCATGCTATATTAAATTTTACCTCTACATCATTTTTAATCAGTTCTGTCCAGTTATAGGTGGTTATGAGATATTTGACAGTATTCTAAATAGATATTTGACAGTCATGCTATAGTCATGCTTGGGCTGAACTAAATTTTAAATACTTATCTTTCCACGTGAGTGTCACATTAGGTCTCAGACTTTGGAAAAGGCTTCATTTAGTGGAGGTAATGTAATTATGTCTGTGTTTGATCATCCAGGGTTAGATTTGAAAGATCCGATGATGACTCAAGTGTTGCTAGTCCCTCTCATGAACATCATGCGATTTCACCTCATGATGACGATCATGTTGAAAGTAATCTGGGTGAAAAGTCTGTTTTGGAGATCAATGGAAAATCTTCTGATAATATGAGCAAGCCTTCTCATCAAAGGACATCATCATTTTCAGGAAACACCAATATTCCAGAAACTATTGTTCCTCCAATTAAAGGAGAAAGGTAATTCTTTCAATTTCCTTAATCACACTGCTTGCTTCTATGTTGTACCACTAGTGCAACTTCATTTGCTTGTGTAATTTTGTAAACTTCCTCTACCAAGTATTTGTTCTATGAACTCCATTGATTGCCTGTTTCCTCTATGAGATAAAGCATTTATTCTGCCCATATTATTTTTTGTTAAGTATGCTATTCTGCTTTTATGGTAGTGGTGAAATTGTTATTGTAAATGAATAAATGGATCTCAGCTCTCAATTTATTGAACTCTAAAAACAATGAGAAATCAATGTCTTAAAGGGGAAATTACTACTCAAAATGATACAACTTGTCACTCATGTGAGCTTTGCACTGATCTATACCTAACAATAGATAAGTTTATTTCCAATTTCAAACAGAGCCAAGTGGGTTTATTGAAATTTTGATGAAATAGAATAATTAATGTCGTTTTCAGAACTCAACGACCTCCCTGGCCACTCAGCACAAAACAGAAAAAAAGCTTTAATATTTTTCAGATGGTTTTGATACCGATTTTTATGCTGATAGATCTAAAATTATTTATAATGAAATCAAGTAGTAAAAATAATATTGGATTAGATAAAATAGTATTCTATTGTGTGAGCAGCTTAATATATGAGACATGTTCAGTACTTCAAGCACTAGTACTTCTCTGTATCAGATGTTATGTCAACTCATAATCTAGTAGTTTGATTAACTGCCACTGTTGGTATTTGTTTAGATTGCAAATAAATCATTCTAGGAGCTTTCAGGAAAAGTTGAAATCAGCTAAACAGGAAAATTAAAGGGATTATATTATGTAAAAAATCTGATAAAATGTCATCTTATAGAACTACAATACATCTTTTGTTTGACATTTTTTTTCTTCTATATTAACTCTCTAGACAAATGCAGGTGCATCTGGGACCTCTGAGTTTCAACAATGATTCTGCTTTGTATACTTTGCCTACAAAAGAAAATTGAAACGTCCTGTGGAAAACTAAAACTTTAATAAAAAGCAATTAGTTAGTAAAAGTTAACAGAAAAAATTTAATGGATATGATCAACAAGTTAATGGCTTGGGAATTGTTTGCCATCAGGTTTTAAAATCAGAATAGGCATCATTTTATATGCTCTATCATGAGAAATAAAGGAATCATTTTAGCTCCTAAAAAGCAATATTGATTAATTTGGGTGTGATCCAGGCAGCTCCATTCATTGTATGATTAATACAATTCCTGATTGGTGGTTAGTGTGGCAGCTTCCTTTGGTTACAGTTTATCGCTGGGCTCACATAGTCTTCATTTCCAATTTGAAAGAATAATAGCTAAGTCTTATGATCTATGTATGCCAGTGTGATTTGAGTTGCTTGAATCAGAGAGCTAGAATGTTTGGACAAGATGCACTTTTTAGATATCAGGGAAACATATATCTAAACTTGTATGATTAAACTATCATCCCCTCCCACTGCATTTTCACATATTAAACTATAATTAAATTTTCATGTTTTGTTGTCATCTACATATAGAGTTTTTCATACTATATTTCAGTAGCACTCATGTTATGAAGTTTTCAGCGACAAGCAAAACCAGCCCCAGAACATTTTTGTTGGCAATGGAGCAGCTGTGCCTGCAGGAGGGGAGGATACTATTTCAGACCTTCCTTCTAAAGCATCTAAATCATCAGGCAAGTGTTAATTGTTCATTCTCTGACTTTTCTTATGCATAAAGAGTCTCCAGGCTTTCATGATTTGGTTGATATTTGATTATTTTGCTCTCCCGCTCTTTCAAGTTGATACTTTCCCCATAACAGAAGTGTTATTGCAGCGGTGAATAGTGATGAACTTGATGAGAAAGCAAAGCCTCCTGTTGTTCAGCAAAGGGGACGTTTCAAAGTTACATCTGAGAATGTTGATTTGGAAAAGGTGACTTAAGATCTTTCTGGTCTGGTTGTTGCCTTCTTTTCCTCGTAATGGATATAAATTCAACTTCTCTTTTCAGGTTGCGCCAGCTCCTATACTACAAAAGAGTCACAGCATGCAGGTTGGTACTTTGGAGGTCAGCACATGTGTGCCAAATTGCCAATTAGACCCAATTGTAGCATTCCTTTGTATAGTTCTCTGGTAAATGCACACCTAGGTATTTGACTTGATTTGTAAGAGATCGGCTTGCATAGCCTGCAAGCTTTTGCAGCGCAATAAGTTGTTCTGACAAGTATGGTAAAGAAGATATCCGGTCACATGCAGAAAAGCTCAGAGTCCATACTGAACCATTATTTGAGTGGGTTGTGCCTTATTCAAGCATCAACAAGGAGATTATAAACTTTTTTTCCAAAGTTGCATACCTTACTATTAATTTCCTGATAGGATTTCTTAAACTTTTGGCATAGTTATCATGGTAGGCAATTTTTGCATCCTTATAATATAATTATTGTTGTATCTGTTTAATTGAGAACTACTTCATAAAAGTATTATCTAAGCAGAAACTAGTCATCTTAGAAATAGAAAACCAAGTTAGGATATTGATCTTGGAAGGGTATATACCTTTTCAAACATCCTAAGTAGACAACGAATGTCTCATATGCCTGGAGAAACTAACATATGTGTACCCTTATTTTATTTCTTATAAGTTATGTGATGTAAAAGTTATGGGTTATGTAGGTACTCACCCCACATCCTGTAGTTTCACTAGCACCACCACCATCTGATGCTGCATCCTCAACTCTTGCTGCCCATCATCTTTTCCCGATGTTGCAGTCCGTTTTGCAGACAAATATTCTTCAAAGGGTATAGGTTAGCCATATATTTTTGGCATTATTACTTTATAGCTGGCAACTAATGTCTCTCTACTTGCCATATTTTTGTCAACAGGAGAATATTCTCAATCTGATTAAGCACATCTCTGCCGTTGACTCTACAGGTGCTAAAATTAATGCTTCTGAAAAATACACCTACTCTCTTTTATAAATTCAAATGAGATGATCTTATGTTTTTTTCTGCATTACTTAGTTAACCGTGCATTTGAGGGAGTAAGCACACCTGCTAATGTGGCTGTCACAGAGAAATCTTTGGTAAGTCATATAGGGCTCTCTCAGTAAAAGTCTACCAAGATAGTCTTCAAAAATATTGTAGTACCATCCAAATTTTGTGATTATGCACTTCATTAATTGAAACACGTGCTCTGGACATTCGTGTGTGAGATCTTTAGATGGGATAAGAGGCAGATGAGTTAGCTGAGCTCTTGACAACTTAAGGAATATAAAATAAAAATGGAACTGAGTAATAGTTCAGTGATAGTGGAATTTGAAGGTCAACATCAATGTTGAGCCAAATTCTACCTGAAATGTGAGTGCGTGTGTTTTTCTATCTTCCTTTCTTTCCTTTTGTTTTTTTTTTTGGTGAGGACAAGCACCAGAAACTGACTTGTTCAACAGGTTGAACTTACTCTACAAAGTTCTATAGTGAAGGATTCCCACTTCTGTTTAAGTTCCTTTGAAGAGTTTAATAGAAGGCCAGAATTTATTATTGGCCACAGCATTTTACCTGTTAGTGTTGTCATCTGTTGAAGTGATATGATAGTAGTGTTTTTTTTAGTTAAAAGAAATTGCGAGAAGTACCTCTCCACAAAATTTATTATTTTGCAGTTTTTTTCTGAATCTGCCCTTTCTATTCTTTTCTGCTATTATTTTCTTTTCCTTTTTTCCTTCAGCGGTGGTTGGTGGGGTTGGCTGTCATCATTATGCTATAATGCTTCAACCTTATCTTACATCATTTTCAACCTTATCTCACATAATTTTATTGAGGAAACATATTTCTTGAATCCCAGTTGGAAGCAGCTCATGATAGGGAGAGGGAGTTACTTCATGAAATTACTGAGTTACAGTGGAGGTATTTCTATGTCATGTGCGTCGATTTTTGTCTCCATCTTTTACCATATCAAATTAAAATCTTGGTTTGCAACATGTAGGCTTATTTGTGCCCAAGAAGAACTGCAAAAGTATAAAACAGAGAATGCTCAGGTTAGTTTCTGAAATACTTTGCTTAGCTGTTTCACCTCTCTTATTTCAACCATAGCTGCCGATTCTAACCATCCAATTTCAGGTGTGAATTTATTTCCAACCGGAGCTGTGATGGAAGTAAAGCCTATTCCTTAAGTCATATGATTGTAACAAAAGCTAAAAAGAGAAGAAACAAACAAAATGACCAAAGAGATATCATTAACTATTGGTAGGTCGATATTGTTTGCATCATATATATAGGTCGTTTCACTCTGTGTTAGCTGGAAAGAAATTTTACTACAAAGCCTCCAACTTTTTGTACATGTACTCTTACACTTTCCTTTCTTGATCTGCATACAAATAGTAAATACTAAATATAGCTTTATAACCTTAATTTTAGAGATCTTTTCTAGCTCGTAAATGATGTGGTACCATCGTGTTCCTTTGTGTCTGTTTTTGTAATGATTGTTTTTCATAGAGCTTTTGAGCTGATGTTTTCTAAACAGAAGCCCAACACTGAGAATAAAGGTGTTTGAATGGCCATGCCTTTAGTTATCTAGCAGTCCGTAAGTCTAATGATTGATATTATAAAATTGATAATGAAATTCAAAAGAAAGTCTAATGATTGATAGTATAAAATTGATGGAAAACAGACATTTTCAGTTAGTGGACGGAATTAGTCAATTTTGTTGGGAGATTAAAGACAAAAATTAAAAATTTTAAAAATTAATATATTGAACTTAATTAACAATCAAAAGATTCATAATAAATAATAATTTTACATAACATGTAAACAAAAGAATAAAAATAATTTATAATTGTTATTTAAGAAAGTTATGGTCGATTATGTTTTGAGAATTCAAATTCAACTATTATTGATTTTGTATTGAAAAGGTTAATATTATCTTTTTCAATATAAAAAATTAAATTATCTATAAGAAATTCATAATCTATTTTATTATGGAATTTTATTTTCATAATTTTTATTATTAAAAAAGTTCTCTTTATAATTGTCGTAGAAATTGAAAAAATCAAAACAAGGTGAATTAATCTATTATTCAAGCGGTAATTTCTTGACTTTCCTGTTTTTGTTAATGTCTGGCACAATTTAGAAAATGTCTTAAGAATTTCAAAACCTTGGTGATGAGGCATATTAAGCTCATAATGCTTCATTTGTAACTTCAGAATAAGTTTTTTTTGTTCTATAAAATCTTGAGAATAAAAACTCTATGTTAACTTGCAGATATTATCAATATTAAATTATTTGTAATTGTTATTAAAATCTAAAGCAATGTTTAAAGTTAAAAGTTTCATAATTTGCTTATTAAATTTCAAATTCAATTTTTGTAACCGAGAATCTATTATTACTAAGAATATATCAACTTGATAATGATGTTCTACAGTTACATCTGGTTGACGAAATTGCCTTTTCCAAAGATATATTGTGCTCCCATTTCAAGAATTTTTATCTCATGTTTTTTACAATTTTTTCACATTCTCAATCAAATTAGATTACCCATCATCTTTTAACTTCTGAAGGAGTGATTTTGTGGTAAAAACAAGATAAATTGCATTTAAAATATCTTAAAAGCATAATTGTAATGCTTGACAAAGAACATTTGTGATTCCCATGATCTTATACATCAAATATAGTATGCAAATAAATTCAAATGATGTAATATTTTACTAATAGTAAAAGCATTATCGCTTTATAAATAACTGGTCCATTTGTCAGTAATATTTTCAATTACAGTACAAGTTGCATCAAATATTCTCGTCAAGCTACAATAAAATGAATGTGTGAGCTCCATCAAGTATCTTTAGCTTTTTGTAAAGTTCCCATTTGATTTGTTGCTTTATCTGTTTCAAGTTCGTTGCTAGCAATCATATTTATAATGTCATTGCGTAAGTAGCTGGTCATTGGTCATGCCTTTTGAAATAAGCATTAACAATATTTATAATAAAAGTCAACTGAATAAAAAATTCAAGAATATGAACTACTTCTCTATATGCTGCAATTAATGCTAATTGTAATTTGTGCGCATAACAATACACATAATATGCGTATGGACAATCGTTAATTACTAAAGCTTATAAACCATTCCATTCACCACGCATGTTACTAACACCATCATATTCTTAATCTCGAATACTTTCAACGTGAAGGTTATAACGAGCAAGAACAGATGGTAATTGTTTTTTCAAAGTCATTGTACTAGTATTACTAACATGTATAAAGTTAAAGAAATATTCTTGAACAAAGCCATCACCATTAACAAATCTCAAAATAATAGCCATTTGCTCTTGTTTAGACTCATCTTGAGCTTCATCAATAATGATACAAAATTTAGCATTTCACACATTATCACGAACTACGTTTTTTCGTTTGAGTATACGATAATTCGTGCAGCACTTGAGTGAACGCTTTCACGTAAGTCAACGAATAACTCATTTATATCTAAACAAATATCAACAATAGCTACAAATTAGATTAAAAGTAACCCACATCAAAATTATATAGTATACCAAATGTCAAATACGCAATCACTGGAGTCACATAAAGAAACATATTTTATTAATATAAAAAGGAGTACAAAGAGATTAAGACACATCATCATCGGGCCACAAGGATAGTCTTAGATGATTCACTATAAATATATCTTTACTAGTGAGACAATCCAACAATCCATTGCTCACCCTTTATGAAGAGTTACTTTTAATATTCTAATATTCTTAAAAAAAAAGCAATCAACATCTAATATTCTTCTTTTATTTCTATTTAAGCTTGAAATACTAAATATAAAACTATAATGCATCAAATATAAATAGTTAAATATGAAATACAAGATTTCACACAATGATTAAATAATATAAATAAAAAGAAGAAGATAAAAAAACCTTTACTTCTTTTTAATTTCACACAATTGTAGTGAGTGTTCACTATCCTTTCTTATTCAAACTCACAAGATCATGAATATCTTTTGAAGAATGAAGTATGTTTCAATAGTGAGTTACAGGGAAAAAAATGTAAAATAACAATAAAAGGATATTGAAGACAAGAGAAGAAGAAGAAGAAAAAAGAGAGAGAAAGGGGTGTAGAGGAACTTAATCTAAGGTAAATTTAAGTAAGTTTGTTGAGTTATTTTATTATTATTTATTTATATTAATTATTAAATAAAGGTTATTTTGAGGAGACTCATTAAAAAATATATAATAAATAAAAATTTTTAAAAATTTTATGGAGATCATTAATGAAATATATATAATAAATAAATATTTTTAAAAATCTTGAGGAGGCCTTTACGCTCCGCCCCTGTTTTTAGCCATAATTTCGGATATTGTTGGCCACTTTGATCATTGGATCATGATTTTAATGAAAGCCAACATTCCCAAGCAAATAGTGAGCTATCTTTAGACACCCACCAAGTCAAATCATGGCTGTTTATGTGGGTCTAATACACGATCAATGTCGATTTGTGCAACAATGCAAGACCTAGCACGTGATACCAATTGCCAGCTTTGTGGGCTAGTTATGAATGTTGAATTGGTGGAGCTAAAATCAGATGGTTTAATTATTAATAAAATATATAAAAGAATATATTATTTATATATCATTTGTGAGTTTTCAAAAAATAATACAACAAAATATTGTTATCGACATTTTTAAAAAAAATTATAACAAGTTTTTCATGAATCTAATACGTATTATGATGATTATAACTTCATGGTAATTTTATCAAAAGCCACTTTATCATGATTTTAATTAAATAAATAAAATATTGAACCTATTGATATGGAGGGAGAGACTAATGAAAATTACAAAAATCATATCTTCAAATGTTTGTCATGTAAGGAGGGTGGAAAGATAGCATGAAGAATACAGCCTTCTTTCTGCTCTACTTATTACTTAAACTTTCATGTTATTTTTTTTTTTGAAACATTGTCAAATTGAGAGATTGAGACGTTAGGATATAGTGGGAAACAATGATGATTGCTCCTTTATGATGTTGAAAGAAGAAGATAGTATTACAAATCAATCAATATTTTTTAGTTAAAATTCAATTTTACAATGTAAAATTATATTTTATTTAATTTTAATATTTTAATTTATACTAATAAATAGTAATATATAACAAATTTTATAATTTTAGATAAATAAGATATGAAAAGATATTTAAAAAAAAAAGGAAATTATCTTACAATACTCAAATCAATAACAATAAAATTCTACTAATGATGATACTCAACAATATTCTTTTAAGTAAAGACGTGTTGAATTTAATTTAAATATTATGCACCTCTCGGGATTGGAGCTAGTCCTGAATCCGGGTATTATAGTGGTCCATGAATCTAGTTTAAAGGGCTTTTGGACTTGGATTTGTACTAAGAGTTGGTCTTAAATAAAGTGTAATGTGAAGTTTTTGTTTCAATTTCTGTTTTAATTTCATGGGTATGCATGCTCGGCGCTTTACTACGAATAAAGGGCATTGATCTCCTTTTAATAACGAGTTTGAATTCTGTTGAAATCAGATGTGGCTTAATAGAGCAAGGTTATGTTGGAGTATTTACCGAATATTCCTTTAAGCTGCCTGGTATGTATAATTTAGTCAAGCAAGTTATTGCATTAACAATTTTTTTTTAAGAGAGACAAAAAAGATGAAAGAGAAAGTAAGGAAAAAAAATTAAACTAGTAATCCTTTTGTGGGAGAGAATGAGGAAATATGAGAAAAAAAAAGAAAAAATTAAAATTCAATATGTATTAATTAGAAATTAAAAAAAAATAGATACATGACATTTTATGAGTTGATACAAGATGAGGTAGGAAATGGGGACTGAGGATTTGAATTCTAACTTTGAGCTGTTCTAACAGATTTTATACAAAAGTCTAGCTTACAAGCTTGTTGATACTAATTCTAGCTTACTAGCTCATTGATTTAAAGTCTTGAGAAAATTCTTCGAATTAATCTCAAAGCTCGCAATAAAAGACAAATTTAAAAAATCTTTATTGTTTTATTAGTATGCATGCAGCTCAACATATAAGTTAATGTGTACAATTTATTAAAACTTTTTGATATAGCCTTTGTTGGTGTATTTTTAAAATAAAAAATTATTTTAATTCAAAAGTTATGTCACATAAAGTGACATAGTGTGACTATTGGATTGTAAGTAGGTTTTTATGTGAATGGGTGATGTCTCTTGATAAAATGACATTTAAAGGTTATGAGACAAATTAGAAAAATATTACAATTTAAAAGTTTAAATATGAAAAGTTATTACTTCAAATTATAGTTCAAAAGTTATATTTTATAAAATGAATGGTTGTTCCCTTATAAGCTGATTATTAAAATAATACTTTTATCCAAATGTTATGTTTTATAAAATGTAAAAATATTTTTCAGACAAAATAGTGTCTTAATGAAAAGGTTGTATCCTTGAAGAAGAGACACTTGCAAGCTTATATAAAGGTTTTGTTGTCAACCATTTTGATACATTAAAACAAAAACAAAATAAGAGCCTAAAAATCAAGAGTAAGAGAAGTGTTGTGTTTTGAAATTTAATATAAACACTTAAATTCTCATCAACTACAAAAGTGTTCAAATTCTTTGTAATCTACTTACTGTAGAAAGTAGGCTTTAAAGTCGAATAATTTTATAAACCCTTAAGTATATCTAACGGTCTACTCTTATAAAGTGTAAAACGAAATTATATATTGGCTTTATTGCATCTGTAACACTATTTGTATTATTCTCTTTTACATATCGAGTGATGGAGATTAAATAAATCTTAAAAATAGTATTTATTGAAAGATTTACCTTGAAATCAACTTTACTGGTTTTTTAAATTTTATCTAAATTCAATTTGCATCAATAGTTATGATTTTATTCAATGAGAGCCAGTCTGGTTGAAACACACCCATAAACTTTTTCACTCATCCCGCGCACGAAGCCTTTATGGCTCTGCATAAGCCCTCAACTCGTTTAAGAAAGGAATTTTGAATCGGCTGGAACAGACCAGACAAGGGGTTTGTGAAGAGGAGTGTTGATGGAAATGCAGCAGGTTGTTCTGGCCCTGCTGCAGCTGATGGTGTTGTGCGAGATGGTGATAGCCACTGGCTGGCCTTTACCTATAGAGTTGGAGTCTTTGGAGTATCCATCACACTTCGGCAGAGAATATTAGGGCGTGTTTATTTGGTTGGAATTATGCTGATAGGGGGGCTATGGCAAGTTGAATATAATAACATACTGCAAATTCACATTTGGAAATAGAAATGTCCGTACCTTTTTTCAGCAAATAAGAGCAAAAAAAAAGAGAGGAAAAAGTACTAATTATTGATTAAATGTTGTATAATTATTGTAGATATTGATTAACATATCATAAAATTATGTTACAGTTACAATCTAGTTGCATTGACCATGCATGATAAAGTATGACATCCAATAAAATGGAGAGCCACATGCAGTAGACTATTAAGCTAGGAGACAGGATCTCTGTATATCAAGTTTAAGGGTTTCAGGGATGAGGAACATCTGACAGTCTTCTCATAAAGTTCAAAATTTACTATATTTAGAAGTGCAAGTTTCAAACATGGTGTGGAATTGGCATCTGGCTTTACAAATTGAAGGAACCTCCACTATCTGCTCTTTCGTTCTCTGACCAACAGAAAGTTCCCACTCATTTGGCGGAATAAACTCAATCCTACAAATATAGACTTCAATTTGAATCCACATGTTCTAATATAAAACCTTATGGCTCTGACCCTTGTCCGTAGTGTAGCCTCATTTGTTAAGAAATGTCGCCCGTTTCTTCTCCAGTAGTTGCTCTCTTCTTTTCCCTTTTCCTTCTCTTACCTGCAGCAGATGCGTTTAACATCACTCAAATCCTCAGCCAGTTCTCCGATTTCAGCACATTCAACAACTATTTGATTCACACCGGAGTTGCGGATCAAATCAACAGCAAGCAAACCGTGACTGTCCTGGTGGTCGCCAATGGTAACATGTCCGAAGTTTCTGGTCAATCGCCAGATGCAATGAAGAAGACCTTGAGCGTGCATGTGATACTCGATTATTTCGATGCAGAAAAGCTCAAGAACCTACAGAATAAAACAACATTAACCCTCACGACGCTTTACCAGCAAAGCGGGCAAGCCCAAAACCAACAAGGTTTCCTGAATGTGGGTCACGTGGGCAATGGTGGGGTGGCTTTTGGATCTGCAGTTTCAGGTTCTAACCTCGACTCCATCTTTATTAAGCCGGTTGCTTCTCAACCGTATAACATTTCAGTATTACAAATCAGCAATATTATAAACGTGCCCTCAAATTCAACTACCCCATCTTCCCCCCCTGCGCAAGCACCTGCAAGTTCCCCAACTACTAAACCACATCCTCCTGCTGCTTCCCCACCAAGGAAGGTCCTAGCACCAGCTCCAAGTCCTAAGAAATCTCCACCTGGAAAAGCTTCACCACCGCCTGATGCAGCTTCTCCCGCTGCATCCCCGCCTAACCCGAGCAATGCTACTGCACCCTCTGTCGCCAAGGCACCGGCCGCTGATACTCCTGCAGAATCAGCATCTAATCCAGTCGCAGATGGACCAGATTCAGATGAAGCTGATAATAATAGTTCTTCTGTGTCTGTAACTTCTGGGAATTATCTTGCCGCCATCCTAATGATGTTCACTTCTGCTTGGTTCCTGCTTACCATGATTTGACAGATATGAAGAAAAGGAAAGCTTGGGTTCTTTTCATATTCGAAGTTTTGGGTTATACTCGCCTACCGTAATGAGATGTTCCGATTTTTCCTAAAGCTGATATATGCAGGCTTTTGTTTCCAACTTTTTTGAGTTGCAACTGTAGAAGAATAGCTTCAGAAGTGCCTTTTTAAGAAATAAATGCCTGGGAATTAATTGGTATGCGACTCCTCAAATCTCAATTTAGGTCAAATTAATCAATTGCTTTCTTCGCTTTAGCCTGATGATTCCATGGTAAGAAATAGAGGGTCAAATCTTGATTCTTGAGAAGGACCCCAAAAGTTGCAATCAAGGATTAGGCATACGCAAGTGAGACATATTCTTATAACATGGGATTCTGGTTGACAGAACCTGACAAACATAACGAGTTGATTTAATGAAAAGGATAATGTTGATATTACAGAATACTGATTTCTAAGACTCAACCAAAAAAAATACCGAAAGCTAGTTTGAAATTATTAAACCTTAATAAGAGAAACATGTTCAGGCAATGTTCACCATGTAATTCTGGTGAGTCCAAGCTGATCTTTATATTTTCTCTATACGACTATACCCCAACGCTTGGTGTATCATAAACTATACTTCATAAACCTTTTCGCGTGGCTGTTGCCACTGTTTTAGGACAACAAAAAGCACATCGTTCCTAACCCTCATAATTTCTAATTTTCAAGAATTCCATGCACATCAACCCCCTCATGGTGCACTGTCACAAAGAGACACAAAATTGATGATGAAAAATTGGGTTCACTTGTTTCTGAATATTTTGATTGAGGTTTTTCCCTACATGTACAATCTTAGATTACCTAATAAGAAGTAATTCTTTTTCATTTTATTAAGTTTCACATCATTTATTTCAAAATTCAATTTCAGAATGAATTTTTATTTTCACAATTTGAACTTCTAATAACTACATCACGAATTGAATCTTTTGATCGATGAGTTAATATAATTTAAATATTGTTATTTCTTCAAATTAAAGCATATTAAGCTTTCTTATTCACCTTTTTATGTCCTACTGTTTTTGCAAACTAATTGCAATATTATATATTTCAAGTGTGCAATGCCAAACGCGTAAGAAATTGTTAAATGTAAACAAGTTCCAACTACATTGAAAATATGTTTTTAATGAGTTAAAAAAATTATATAAATTCAAGATGCATATTAAAAAAATGATCTGCATGCATTTTGCAAATTCAATTTTATATCCAATTATATAAAAAAAAATTACGTAATGCTCTCAAGTTTTATAAGTTGAATGAAAACAAAACAAACATATAAGATATAGATGGCAAAAGCATGTATTTTTTTGGTGCAAACAACTTGAACCTCGAAAAGGTTAATATAAAGGATAAGTTAATTACATGAAAGGTTATAAATCTCAAATTTAAATATCATTTTAGGTGTTTCTTTTTTTTCAAATTACTATACACTTAGCCCGATTATTTAATGTATTTATTAATAATATATAATTAAATGCATTAATTATGTGGTATTTGTATATGTTAAATGTGTTCAATTATAATTTTTATTCTTATATGTAATTTACATATATAGTAGAGGTAGACTTTGGAGTAAAATGCATTTTTAACCATCTTTTTATGCTTCAATTTTCTTGTCCACATGTATTGTTGGTATATAATCTTCATGACATTATGACTTTTGTTTTAAAAATAAAAATAAAATTGAGTAGATAAATTGGGCTTAATATAACCCTTTTGAATTTAATAACAAAAAAGGAAGGACAGATCCTATACCTATTTGGAGAAGATAAGGTTACCCTTTTTAAATCAAGATGACGTGGCTTTTTCACAAAGCAAATAATTCACATGGATAAAAGGAGAGCGAATGAACAAATATATATTAGGAAAAAAAATCCATAGGTTGTAATCAGGAATATACATATACACGTCAAGGTAACGCATGCAGGCACCGTCATTTCCTAACTAAGGAAAAACCGAATGAAAATAAAACTTACCAGAAAAACAGGGATAATGGAAACGGATTAAAATAAAATAAATTAAAAACTTTAGTACGAGTAGATAGACAGAAAATGGTAAGGGCTTTCTCATAATCTGATATTCCTTATTTAGTTGTAGACCCCTCCGAAAATCCTCCAAAATACTCTTCTCGCTCTCTCTCTCTCTCTCTCTGTCTTTCTCTTTCTGTCCTTCTCTCTCCTCTTCCTTTCTCTTTCTCATTTGGAAGGACGATTCGATCTCAAGATAGATATTCAAAGAATTCCTTAGATGTCTGCAGAGAAAGTGCATGTCGAGCACTGTAAAGGTGTCAATGGCCTCGACAAGGTCATTTTAAGGGAGATTCGCGGTTGCTCTGCTGAGGTTTTCCCTTTCATTCTGTCTTTCTTTTTTTTTTATCTGATCTCTCGTTTGCGTTTTGTTATCGGATCATTCTTGTCTCTGTTCTTGAAACGAAATGATTGTTGTGATTTTCGTTCGAAATCTTCGAGCCTGCCTTAACATGTTAGCCACATTGTGAAATATTATCGTTTCTTTGAAGAGTTTTGCGTGATTTTGTTTAGTTGATTATTGAATTATCGATTTAGATCTTGCGATTATCTTAGGTTGCTGTATTATGGAACTCTGATGATTTAATCTTGTAACCGTTTTGCTTAATAAATCTTGTGATGATTCGTTAAGTTTGCATTTAATTTAGATTAAGGAAGAATTCATCAAGATTTCTCTTGTCGTAGTGGTAAACAGACCTAAGGTGTTTTATAGTGCAAAGAAGATCAAGAAGATATCTGGAGAAGATTGTTGTGAAACCAAACTTTTGCATGTGCGTGAGAGTGAAAGGAAGCCAAAGTGTTTTAACCAATTCCATAAAATTGTATGACAAATTCTTGTGAAACCAAACTTGAGCTGCAGTTTTAAGGACATGATTACTAATTGTATCACGTTTTAATTTGCGAAAACTTTCCCTCTCGAACATTTTGTGGAGATGGTGGGAGAAATTATTAGTTTACGTGAATACTCAAGAGTGTTTATGGAACAAGTACTTGTAAGGTTGTTTGGCACATGAACAAACTTGAGATATGTTTTAAAGTGGAAAGAGTTTATGCCATGTATAGAAGATGTTTTAGAACACCTATCTTTCTTGTTGTTAGTGTACTCTGGCATGCAGTTGTGCATGCGTGATTTCTTTTAATGGTAAGTCATGATGGCAATGTTAGTAAGACTATTATTTTCTATACACGAATGGGAGAGTTTTAAACGTCCACAAGTGAGTTAATATGCTTACCACGTTCCTATAGAATGATAAATAATAAGTTAACATATGTAGCTAAATGGACACGTGATGATCAATTAAATCCACTTGTGTAGTTTTTCGAACTCCATCATGGGTGTATAGATGTGATCCATTTTGGTATCCCGCAGATCATGGCACCTCATCAATTTTTTGCTAATGATTAATATCACTCTGAACATTAATTGGTTTGTTTGAGTATGTACAATTTTATTGATTGATTTTTCTTATATTAAACGTACATTAAAGTGGAAATAGTATCCTTGAAATCCTATTTCATGAACTGAGGAAGTCATGAGTGCCACTTATCTAGTGCAATTTATTCTTTCTTCCCTCTTCGTCTTCTTCTTCTTTTTTAAACCTGAAAAAATTAAAATATGCTTGGGAAACAAATCAGTTTCTTGTGTTCATTCTGCTTTTTCCATTTTTTTTTCTTAAATAGGTGTATCTGTATGGAGGTCAAGTCACTTCTTGGAAGAATGAACATGGAGAAGAGCTGCTTTTCCTTAGTAGTAAGGTATCTGTTTAGCTTAAGAATTTAATGCATTCAAGTTACCTCTTCACCAGTTATTAATGATCTACCGTTCATCATTAGAGATAGTCTTAAAATGTGCATGTAATAGTTCATGAAATGAATTTACCACATTGGTGGTGGCAGTGGTGATATCGTCTTATCCCACTTATTAGGCAACCACATGCTACTAAATGCCCCATTAATCGTGCAGTGCGATGATTAATCACTTACAAGTTATAGTATTTTCTTGGGTGTTTGATTAACACTTAACGCTACTTCTTGGTTAAGAGGTTGGTGCTTAGAAAGCACTTTTGACAATACGAGTTCTTAGATAGTTTCAGAAGGAGAGGAGTGTCAAAATGACTGTCAGTTATACTGACCTTTCGATAAGGATAACGTTTTTTTATTTTCATAAAGTACAGAAGAATCTTTAATTGAAATGGTTGATGTATTTGGATTTTATGCAGGAAGAAAACTAGCAATTTGAACGGATTTGCTAAATATTTATGAATGCTTTCTCAATTAATAATTTGTGCTTTCTGCAGACTACGTTTAAGCCTCCTAAGGCAATTCGTGGAGGTATACCAATCTGTTTTCCTCAAGTACGTGCTTTAATGCTTTTAGCTATTTGTTTTTGCCATTTTTTATATTTTTGTTTCCAAGGTCAATTGTTTGCCATACGCAGTTTGGAAATAATGGTTCTCTTGAGCAACATGGATTTGCAAGGAATCGATTGTGGAGTGTTGATCCCGATCCCCCACCATTTCCATCAAATACTTCTCACAGGGCCTTCATTGACTTAATCCTCAGGCCTTCTGAAGAAGATGTGAAGATCTGGCCTCACAGGTGCATTACTCAATATGAATTTTGATTTATTTAACGCATTTCTTAAATTGGCATTTCAATTTCAATGCTCCTCTTTAAGCAAAGTTGTTAAACTGGCATGTAATAATTGTTAAACGACTGTCTGGACCAGATTTTAATGCTGTTTATTTCCTGTATAAAATTTCCTTTTTTCACCGTAAAAGGAATTTTCTAATTATGGCATTAGGTTGTCTGTTGTTTTGGAGCTAAGATGTATCTAGTGTTAAAATTAATCATAAATGTGTTCTGTCTGTAGATTTATGGGTTAACTGATTACATTTGTGCATCACTTGTCTATGAATGTGTTTTGTACATTTAAAGCATTACTTGTGTGTGTGAGACTGATACTGAAGTCCTATAATTTGGATTAAGGAATATGCAATTATATGCAGGTATGAGTGTCGGTTAAGGGTAGCTCTGGGACCTGGAGGTGATTTGATGTTGACATCCCGCATTCGAAATACAAACACTGATGGAAAGCCGTTTACATTTACATTTGCCTATCACACCTACTTCTTCGTCACTGATATCAGGTTTAATATATGTATCTTGCTATTGTGTGGTTTTTACTCATGGGAATCTGCATTTAAACACAGAATTATGTATCTGTAATTTTGTTAGTTTCAGTTTTAGTTACAATGCTGGCTACCTTTTTCTAAAGAGTTGAAAGCAGTGTGAGATGCAATCTCTGGTGAACATTCTATGAAGAAATCACCCTATAGCCTCGGACTGTCAAAAGCTGGAGTATAAATATGAGATCAAAGTTGTGACATAACTTAGTCACTGAGCATAAGTAGTTTACTGACACATATGATTAAAACTTATGCATGTTACAGTCTTGTGCATGCTAGGTAAATGGATTTGCTTTGTTATTGCACATAGATTTTCTAAATATTCTTGCAACAAATGATGATTTGTTTGATCTTGAAATATTGTAGAGTAAGATTATAGTTATGATTAGAAGCAATTTCTATTCGGTTCACCTTTTAATAAAATGTTTATATTACAGATGGAATGAAAAAGCTCTGTTCTAGATGTTAGTATTATGATACATTGCTAGGACATACTCATTCTGTGTTCTTTACAATTCTTTTTCGATTTACTTTTATTTAGTGAAGTGCGAGTGGAAGGCCTAGAGACACTGGATTATTTGGATAACCTGAAGAACAAAGAGCGATTCACTGAACAAGGGGATGCAATAACGTTTGAGTCAGAAGTTAGTGTCAACTTTTCATAAGCAGACTTATGCTTTTCCTGTATTTTTTTTTATTCTAATTTGTATTTATTGTTTTATGATTACTGTTCTTGTTGATGAAAAAGGTGGATAAAGTATATCTTAGTACACCTACAAAAATTGCCATCCTGGACCATGAAAGGAAACGTACGTTTGTGTTGCGAAAGGATGGACTTCCAGATGCTGGTGAGTTTATTGTCTCTATATACTCCTACACTAATTTGGAGCACTATGTAAGTCGTGGTGTGAAGGTGTATTTACTATAGGAGATATGAATATTTTATCTGTGATCCATGCTTCATCTTAGAAGTTAACAACTCTAGAATCAGTTGACATAGTAGTCATTGGAGCCTCTAAAGGTAACAAACAGCATGAGGTTTATCTATTTAGTATCCAAAACTCCATTTTTAACTTTATTGGCCATGTTAGGGGATTGTTCTCCATGACATCCTTCCCTCCTGATGAATCCACCTTTAGTGTGGTTTCCCGTTCAAAATTGTTCTGTTCTTTTACCCTGTTTAGAAGCAAAGTTTGTCAGAGTGGTTTGGAGAAAAATTTACTTGCATAACCTGAATTGTGTAGAACAAAGGACAACTGCTTGTTGTTTCATATGATGCAGTGGCAGGGCATCAAAAATTGTGTCATATAAACTGCTCTTAACTTAACATCTTCATCTGGTTGTGTATTATTCTAAGAAAGCTTTATGCTGGTGGAGTTATGGAGTGTGGATACAAATGAATGTTTGAACCTGACTAGTATTTCTAGTTCACAGTCAAATGTGCCATTGTAGCTCCTTCAATCGTGATACTATATTTATTACAACAACGCAGACTACTTTTTTTTTTTTTAATTTTAAAACATTTTGATTGGACATGTAAGAGATTTACTGCTTACTTGGCTATGTATCACTTAATCTTTCCTTTTACATTATTGGATAAGCATGTAAATCATGGTTAGATTGCCGGTTACATTTGGTTCCTATAATTTTCAGTTGTGTGGAATCCCTGGGATAAGAAAGCAAAGGCAATGCCTGATTTCGGTGATGATGAGTATAAACATATGCTATGCGTAGAGGCTGCTTGTGTGGAGAAGCCAATCACCTTGAAACCTGGTGAAGAGTGGAGAGGACGGCAGGAGCTCTCGGCTGTTCCTTCCAGTTACTGTAGCGGACAACTCGACCCGCGGAGAGTATTCAGTAGTGGTTGAATGTTGGCTTTTTCTTGGGCATATCTTTGTACAGTTTAAAGACAGCAATCAGATTTGCACAGCCGATTGGGCCTCAAACTATTGGCTCCACAATAGGTGCTAGCCAAAGCATTTTAATTGCAAAAATTGTCTATGGTGCCGAAAATTTCATATAAAGGGTATGGTAATTTTGCAAATTCAAGTTCTTTGGATGTTTGATTGCTAGTCCATTGATTTTTTAGATTTAGTTTCTAGGAAATGCTCTGTTGTTGCATGTTGAGGTCCATTCTCTTATTGATATACCACAATAATTTTCAGAAAATTGTACGAGCAAATTTATTAGAGCTTTCCGGTTTGGTAACAGAATCATTTGTGAGATTACAGACCAACTCGTATTTTTCAAGTGTCGATGACTTTTTGGAACTGTGAGGAGGAAACTAAGAAACTTAATAAAAGTATTAGAACAACAAATTGTGTTGTAATTATGAATAACGAAGATATTAATAGACATAGGGAACTATGCAGTCTTTCGGGTAGAAAGGTAGTCTATTTGAACATTCTTTGATGCAAATTTCATTGGCAGAAAAGTTATGCATTGCTAAAATTTAATAATAATGATATAAAATACTAAATGACTTGAATTGTGGAACTACAAGGATGAACAAGATTCTAATAAATTAAATATGAAAAGCATGGAATAATCTAACATAATTATTTCTTGTTAAATCCTATCCAATGTTGTTTGCCCCGAGAAAATTGATTTAGCAAAAACTAATATTATTGGTACTATTTTTTGTCTTTAATAAATTTTTTCTTTATATTAAAAAAAAAGGATGTGTTTGGTGGAAGTTAGATATGGAATTGCCAATAATGAGTAGTACAATGTTCAAAAATTATCTGCTATCGGTAATCACATATTTATTATATCCTCATTTTCCGTCAGAGTCTACTCTTTGGGCGTGCAAAGCACCCTCCAATAATATCTGAACACGTATTAGTTACACCTGTCAAAACATAAAGCGTTGTTTTCACGTTCCTTAGACCAACGTGAAATTGATCTCTACGTTCCTCCCAAAAAATAATGCTCATAATATAAAAAAAGAAAGAAAGAAAGAAAATGAAATGACAAGCAAATTGATCAAATAGGGTAATCTGCAAAAATCTTTTGATTGCAAACCCAGAAAGCCCAAACAGATTTTTGGAAGAGAAAAGCAGAAAAAAATGCTTTGACAATGCAACAATTTTTTCTTGACAGAGAGAGAGAGAGACGCAGAAATAGAAAATGAAGATGTAACGAGAAAGAAGCTCGAGTATGAAGGAAGATAGCAAAACGAATTTTTCTTTTTGTGTATCTGGAGGAAATTTTCTTCACTTTCTCGAGCTCCAAACAGGTTAGAGCAACTAAAATTCACCTTCGAAATTCTCTCTCTCTCTCTCTCTCTCTGGAATCTTACATCTCTTTCTTTGCAACCTCTGTTGTATTCGATCTCCCTGTGAAATTCAAGCTATAGCTGAAAATTTCACATGAACTCTAACTTCTTAAATTTTGTGATCTACGTAAAAGAGTTTGCCTTTTGAGGGTGGTATTTTGCTGCTAGCTTCTATATATTGAATAAAGAAGAGGTTTTATGTGGTTGAGCTTGTTTTCCTGGATTTTGTGGTCCAATCTATAGGTGAAGAAAAATAAAGGAGGTTTTTTTGTTGATATAATAGAAAGTTTGGCTTTTTCTTTGGGTTGTGATTTGAATTTTGATTGATTGAATTTGGAGGGACAAGTTCAAATCTTTGAGCTTTGGTGAGAGCTTTACTCTTGGTTGCAAAGATGCGTTTTATATTGGTGTCTATGGGTCTTTCTGGAGTTAGTGGAACATCTTTAGTAGAGTTATGGAAAGTGGGTTTTTGGAAATGGAGCAAAGAAACCCTAATTTAGTTGGGGTTTTGGGTTGGAAGAAGGTGTACGTGTCTGTATTTTTGGTCAAATAATTTGGTTATGGATTTTTATCGGTGAACAATGCAACCGCCACATCAGCATTTGCGGATCAATCTCATTGAGTTGAAAGCTCAGTTAATAAAGCGGCTTGGGCCGGAGAGATCGAAGCTATACTTTCATTATTTGAATAAACTATTGAACTTAAAGATAAGCAAAATTGAGTTCAATAAGCTCTGTTTTCGTGTTCTTGGGAGAGAGAATGTTAGACTACACAATCTCTTAATCTCTTCAATATTGAAAAATGCTTGTCTTGCCAAAGTCCCTCCACCGCCGGTGACTGGTGATGAGAATCAGCAAAGTGGGAATGTTCTATTGTTGCCTGGGAAAGCAAGATCTAGAGCATCCACTAGGCTTAATGCCAAGGTGGATTCTGCCTTTCATGAATCAATAATTACTAATGAAAATGTTGTCTCTGGGAATGGCAAGCTGACTTGTCGTGATATACGGAAGCCGGTGCAGCATCATCAAGAAGTCTTGGGCAAAGCAGATGACGGAAGGGATGTTCTGCTTCACAACCCTGAGATGTTACCTTTAACAAAAGGATCAGCTGGTGGTTTTCTTTCTGAAGATCGCAGAGAAAAAAGTGAACCATTGGTTGTTGAAGATGGAAAGGAGTTATGTGCTAGAAGTTCATTGCAAGCACCACTTGGGATATCATTATTTTCTGATAGTATTTCTGGGGCCCGAAGGGCGCTGCCTTCTGTGAGAAGTGGTGGATATTCCAACTCATATGATACTGGTGGATTGCTTGACTCTGAGGCACTGAGGGAACGCATGCAACAAATAGCTGCATTGGAGGGCCTTGGAGGTGTGTCAATGGACTGTGCCAGTATATTGAGCAATGGGTTGGATATCTACTTAAAGAGGTTAATTAGGATGTGCATTGAGCTAGTAGGAACTCGGCATGGATGTAATTTGAGAAAAAACAACACACTCAAGCACCATTTGTATGGGAAGCTTGTTAATGGTGTCTTGCCAAGTCATCATAATCATGTGCAAAATAGCAGTAGAGCTTTAGAAGGGATAGATGGACAGATATCCTACAAACTTATTTCTTTGCTGGATTTCAAAGTTGCGATGGAATTGAACCCACAGGGACTAGGGGAAGACTGGCCATTACTGCTTGAGAAGATATATATGCGTTCATTCGAGGAATAACAATTCAGGAACTTGTGACTCTGTCAGAGTAATTGATTTCGTAACTTCTGGTCCAAAGGTTCCCAAAAGTAGCAATAATGTTTCTTGGGTATCATTAATGCATCGGATACTCTGTTGCAGCCATTTTGATCCATGTGCTGCCTTTAGGATAAAACTATGCCCCTTACAAGATGAATTGGAAGGGGGCAGAGTATTATCCCTAACACCATACTTAGTGGCAAGTTGGCAACTGACCAAAAGGGACAAGGAGAAAAGAAAGCCCACATTTGGTTGCCCTGTTGTACCTTTAGCATAATCTTGGTTCACCCAGTTTTTTCTGTAATTTATAGCCCATTAGGAAAAACCTTTATAACAGTTTTGCAGGAATAATATCTTTAGCTTAGTCGGAAGATAAAATTGCATGATGTAAAGTTCCAATGTATGTATTTGCAAAACTTAAATCCAGTCGGAATCTTGATATCAAAAGTTATGTGCACTTGACCATTCTTGCTAATTTTACCCAGGACTTTGAAATGTTTCTATGAACAAATATCATATTTAATTGTTATCATGTGGAATTTGCTGTAAATTCACATTATAACCTTATATTTTCTGTTCCTTTTTTTTTTTTAAGTTTTTACGTCTTATTACTTTATGTTATGGCTCTTCTGAACTAATGAAGATTAGCTCTATTTAACTGTACTTTAGATACTTTGAGTCATTGATATTGACTGAAAATTAAAATTTTCATCAGATATATTCCTCTTGCTTCCTATTCTTCAGCTTAGATGATATGTTATAGAGACAAAATATTTACTCCAAATGTTCTGCATGTCCTAACCATCCCTTTGATCTGATGGTTACCAGCCCTTGTGGTATGATATCCGGGCCTGGGTTTTCCTCATATTCAAGTTGCTGTGCATGCCTGTTGAATCGTGAGAGTAGACCAATGTTATTTCATTACACCTTTTATTTATGTGGCTTGTCATTTAGAAGCCTTGAAATATATGAACCATGCAGATCAAGCAAATCCAGTGCCAATGAAATGATATCTTATAAAAAATCACAGCCACAGTGAGTGATAAAGCTCCAAATGATCATGATTCTGTAGGAGGTTCCTTGGGTTTCTGACTTTCCAGTTTGGCCTATTAGTTGTCTGGATTCTTAATCGGTATAAGATCTCATTTCCCACAGGCTTATTAACACATTTTTCCAGTTAGATTTAATTAGCTTTGAGACAAAAATAGCAGATTACGCTCAATCTCCAGATCAATATATCTGTGGCTCCTGACATTTGAGCTTCTTTCCCTTCAGAGGTTTGAGACACGGATTCTCACAACCCTCTTATTTTACTTAATCTAGATTAGACTTTTCCAGAAATTTGGTTTGTAAGAATATATCATGGTACACATACCCAATGTTATAAAGCATTTAGGGTGTATTTTCAAGTATCTCTGACATGATATTTTTGGAGGTTCTATTTACTGTAAAACACTCATCTTACTGCTAATTCTTTGAATTGTAGCACTCAGATTAAAGGTTTCTTATATAGTGATTTTTATTTGATTAGAAAATAGGCCATTGCTATTTGTGGCTATTCTTTTTTCTTGTATTGATCTATGATTTAACGAACGTTTATTTTTCCCGGACTCATTGTTGGACTAATTTTTTTATTATTTTTCCATTTAAACATAATGTTCTCTTCTAATGCACCAATCACAGTAGGAGCATGAGGATTTCACACTTTGACTTGATCACAATTTGTGTCAGCCTATCACAGTTACAACTTAGAATTTCATTTAAATATCTGAATTAAACTCTCTAACCCCAACTGTTTCACCTTCTATATGCTACAGTCTAGTCCACATTCTCTTGCTTATCCTAAAACACATGGGTTCCTGAGTTCTTGTCTGATATAGCATTATCTTCAACAACTCTAATATATTTAATTATCTAATGAAGTATCAGTTCTACTGATGTTGTATGTGAAAGAACATAGATGGATAGGAGTTAAATTCAATAATAGTTGATATCCTTTTTCAAGAAATTGAAGAACTATGAGATTAATTAAATGCTGTAAGTTCATTTAAATTTGTTGCACAAATAATATAAAAGAAGTAAAAAATGATTCTGTGCTACATTAACAGCAACAGTCCGAGTTTTGCATATGTTATTTGTGGTAGTGTGCTTGTAACAGAGACGTACAGTAACATGCCTTGCAAAGCACTAATCACTACATTTCCATTGGTCTTGTAAATGACTTGTGAAGTTTTATTGCTTGCTATTCCCAATATCATAACATTGCAGGAGGCAGGTAACCTGAACTGACCAGGATTGCAATGTTTTGAAATTGTGGTTTCTTTTGTTTCCATTATTTCATTTTTTTGAACATTTCACCTTAGTCTGTAATTTAATTTTAATAATATTTTAGGTATTGCTATGTTTATTGCTTTTGTTGATCTATTAAGGGAGTCTGTGCACCTGGAATGTGTTTTCTAAGGGTGGATTCTAGAACCATGTATGAGCGAGCCTAAGGTTTCCGGGAAGGCTACAGGGACAGGGAAAAGTACTTGAACGTGTTCCTGTCTATTTTTGGCATATTTCTGCTTGACTGCTTCATTAAAGGCGCACACAATAACGAAGAGAAGCTTTCTATATTGGAGAGAGTGGCCCAAAGTTTGTATTACTTGCTTGGCGTTACTCCTTAATGCCATTGGCATGGGGCAAAAGGTAAATGGACAAATATATAGCTAAATGTCTGGGTGCTTCAAGAAAATGATTTTTATGCTTCTTCTATTAGTCATGGTAAATTGTTTGTAAGAATTTGTTATGATCACAAGTTCATGTTGAGTCAAATATTTGCATTTATTGTGTAGCAATGGTTTGGGTTTTTTATCAAATAGCATGGACAACAAGATGAAATCTTTGCGTAGTTAATGCCCCAATGATACACGGTGATTTGATTTCGGATATGTTGAGCCTTTCCTTTTATTAATGCAATGAGGCAGGAGCAAAATTAAGCAAAATCGTCTGTTGTACAATCCACTAGCCTTTGTTCCCAGGCAAAGGGACGGTTGTGTGGGCCTTGGCTCAGACTTCAGAATAAGCTCTAAGGTCAGTGCAAATTGCAGATGTGGGGAGGTGCTGTTTGTGATCATTTTCTATTGCCAAACATGTTTTGTTACTCATTTTGTGGAATTAAACTTTTAGTTTCTTTATCCACTGATACATGCACATGCGATAGCTGCAGGTACACCAGTGAGTGAAATTGAGCTTACTGATGAAGCTATCTGTGTTGTAATTTGATTACAAGTCATGACAAAATATCACAGATACACAAAAATGACTTCGTCATTTGAAAGCATATATTTTACCCCCAGGAGAAGTAATAGTGATACATCATCTTATATTTGGATTTGAACATAGTTGCAACAGCTCTGTACCATGCCACTGCAATGTCGGCTGTCCGGTTCTAAAATTATGATGCCATTGTCAGGTTGCAGGACACTAAGAACACATTATTACTTTTTATTATAATAGTAGTAGTATCCAAATGGTATCAAGTTAGGCACGATTTGCCGAGAAAGATGAGGATGAACTGTTGTTAGACCACACAAAAACTCTCCAGAAAGGTCGTTGCTTGCGCTTGGCATTGTTAGCTATCAGCTCTGTTTCTGATCTTCTCAGCATCTCCCACATCACCTGCACATCTTGGTATCCACAAGTTTGTACATCATCATGAAGCTTCAAAAGCCCTGCACCTGCATGCCAGCAGCAACACCATGAAGAAAAAAGGTTAGTTAGCAATCCTCTCTATGATAATATATTTTATCATATTCTATTAAGACAAAAACAAACTAAACCACAATCAAGGAATATAAGTAGAGATATTTTTGTCCCCTTTGTTTGAAGGTCTAGGAGTATCTTTTCAGTAGTCGTGTTTAGCATTAATTGTGATGGCTCTTAGCTGAGTGTTCCTGGCCGCAAATATCAGTTATCTGGGCTGTATTTGTGCTCTTAACTTTCTGATTAAAATAAAAAAAGTGATATATATTGTTTTCAGGCCATTGCTAACTCCAACAAAAAGTTGCACTGAAAAAGATGATGATCCCGGCCTTTCGGCGCCTGGACCATTGGTGCCACTTACCTTGTACGAGTAAGTAAACCTAGCATTGAAAACAAAAAAAAGGTTGGGTTGATTCTTTTTCCTCCTGCTAATCGGAGAAGATTTATGTGTGTTTTCTTGGTAAAGGAAGCCATGGTTTCATAGTGGACACTACGGGTTTGGGTTGCAGCGTTAAAAGTCAATGAGAAACAATAATCTCTCAATCTCTCATACATTACCATAACGTCACATGCTTTGTCTTCAAGTGGATTTTAGTTTAGTGGATATAGCCCACCATTAATGGAATCTTTCAAAGCTGTGTATCCTTGATTTTTTTATATGCATAAAATGCAAACAGAAAAAAAAAAGAAGAAGAAGGGTAATCCGTTCAATATCTCCTTTTGCAATAATGTTGACAACATGGTACGGTCATCTGAATCATTTTTCACTTATGATTTAAATAATTTCACTATTAAATAGCATAATATGGTTGTTTGTTATTTTTATGTAACTCAATAATTGAAGATACAATAATTATTAATGCGGTCTGCTGCGTACAACATCCACACAGATAGATTAGATGGTAACTTTCCTAAATATCCTCAATCAGCTTTCCTCTATCTTCCTTTTTAACGCTTTAATTTTATACTTTCTCAAAAAAGAGGTTTTGATTGTGTTACATTATTTTTAGTATTTAATGGTCGTCAAAATTACGTATATTTTTGTTTGAGGTGGATTTTAGTGGATGGTTCTATGTTAATGGAATACTAATAATAATCTTTTAACCTAATCTTTCTCCTTAAGTGACTTCCAAATCAAGATTTTGATATGTGGTTAATTAGTAAGTTTTCAAAAAAGGGAAAAAAAAAAGGATGGGGTCATGGTCTCCCCATGGGCCCCTAACCAGTCTTATGACCGAAGGAAAATTAAAGTTTTGAAATAATTAAAAGGTTTCTTTGTATTTTAGAGTAGATAGCTAAGACTTGTATGTACATCTATATTGGTGGTAGCGATTATAAAAACTGGAAATGAATATCTAGACATAACTCTCTTATCTACTATGGACCTTCCATTCAACAATCTTGACGTGACAATTGACATTAAAGAAACAAAATGACAAAGAAATTGTGATTGATGAAAAAGGAAGGGACCACTTTAGAACTATACACATACTCTCAAGAACAAAAATTCAAAGAGCCATCTCCTCTCCTTCACTAATAATAGTAGTAATTTGCGAGTAAAGTTCATGAAAAACATGAGAACAGAGGAACAATTAAAGCCGCTGCATCCAAACCCAAAACGGAAAACACAAAGAGAGATGGGAGCTAGGTGAGGGAAAAAGCTAGATAAAAGGAATCAAAGAATAAATTTACATGGTCTTATATAGCTTGGTGACAAATAATAATGATAAATCCCAAACACACAAAGATAAACCAACTTTCATTATAACAAGAACAAGGAGGAGGAAGAACAAATAGAAAATTTCAAAAAGGTCGTAGTAAACAAAGAACAACAGGAACGGACAGAGAGAGAGAGAGAGAGAGTTTAATGGGTTATGTTATACGAGTTGGAAAAAAACGCACCGTTTTTGCGAGCTTTAACACGAGCGGAAACAGCAAACCAAACTCTTCTGACAGGGAAGATCATCTTATGCCACCAATCCATGAATTTTTCCTTGACTTTAATCCTCTTCTTGCTTTTCTTCCTCTTTCCACCACCACCACCAAATATTCTAAACGCTATCGTCTTGAACCCGGCCAGACCTCTCTCCGATATCTACAAATACAAAGAGAATTAAACAAGAAGGAAACAAAAAGCTATAGCTTTGCCTTTGTGTAGATGACGAAGAAGAAAGGAAGCTTGGAGGAGCTTAGTAGTAGCTCCAACATAACCATAAAATCCTCGGAAAGCGGAAGTTAGGCTAATGTTTTTCCGAGGGAGAAAAGTGAGTTTATAATTGGAGGTGGGATGCGAGGAGTACTACTGCGATTTTACAGAGAGAAGAGGGCAAAGGGCCACCGACACGTGACCGATATATACTTGAGGTGGTTATTATTTTAAGTTACTTTGGTTCGGGGTTTGGTTTTGGTTGGAGAAGACCAAGCTTACACTTGTTTTCCTACGGTTGGTCGCCCATGGTAGTACTAAAGAATAAATCTCCGTCATATTTTATTTTGTATTCTTTTTGTTGTTATCCCATTCAATCGGCAGTTAACAAACTGTATGGACTTTTTATAGTCTTATCAAATATTGGATATTAGATTATCGTGGGACGGTTTGATATTTATGCTTAATTGGTTTGCAAAAAGTTAGCTTGGAATATATTTGCAAGTACTAATACTAAAGAAAGCAAGATTTTTAGGCTAAACTTAGGTTTCAATACAAAAATTACTATTTTATACATATAATTCAAACAAAAGGGGATATGAAGGTGAACATCAGTAGGAATTTAAAAGAATGAGAGATAATTCATGTTTTTCAAAGAAATTTTATGTACATAAATTGTATGAATACTATTGGTTTCGTGATTGAAAAACGAATTACCTTTTATTAACAATTATGATAGAATTTTTTCTGTTCAACAAATATCAATTAAAATTTTGTGTATAAATAGTATCCTTTATATTTTTAACATATTATTAATTTTTTTATTAAACTCTATCAATTTATTCATTTTAATTTTTATTTGAAACTTGACTTAAAAATCTTTATATAAATTCTTCTTTTATAATAATTTCTTGAACACATAATTAAAGATTTCGATATTAAATCTACATGTGCGGTGGATATAAAATAAAAAAAATTATAAAGTAAAATAATAAGACTTTACGTGTTATTAACATAGTTGATGATTCTTTTCCATATATTTTTTTTCTCTCGATACTAATAAATCTTAAAAGAAATTCCATTAATAAGATTTTTTTTGACCAAAATTTAAGCCCCTACTCAACCTTAGATTAACCGTATCAAATTTATTTTAAACATTATGAGATGGAAATCTCTCCATCATAATATATAATAAGTCATATATACATATTGGAGTTACTTATAGAAGTTATTTATCAAAATTCCAAATGCAGCATTGTTTTTGTACATTTGTTAGGGAACAAAACGAACTGTACAAAGAGAAAAGCATGTGCCTGATCTAAGTGAAAAAATTAAAAAAAATAAAAATAAAAAGCCATTTCTTCTTTAAAAAAAACTCCTCATTATCATCAAATTAAAAAGGCATCACGTGGTTCATCTTAACTGGACCTTCTCCTTCACCTTTTATCTTCTTTGCTTTATGTCGGGATTCATTTTATTTTGAAAAGGGTTCTCTTAGATGGGTATATCTCTGATTTTTCATGCGATTTGTATTAAATTAATCGAATTGTCGGATTTTATATTCTACTCATATTTATCAAGCATATTTAATTTAAATTTAATTAATAATATTTTATAATAATAAAATATTGTTTTAAAATTTTACATATATGATGAGTATAGTAAGTTGTTAAATTCAATATTGATTTACAAAAGGTGAAACCATTAATTAGCTTTACACCGTTTGATACTTGCCCTACAATCTGAGTTAAGCGTTGAAAACTCGTCAAACTTTGATAGGTGAATTCAAATTCTGTCCAATCGAGTGCTTTGCGGGTGGGCGGTTTAGTTGTTTGAATTATTTAGGAAAAAACTAAATGAGAAATTTAAAAAAATAAAATTGCCTTTTAATCTATTGGCTAGGAAAGGTTAGTGTCGGCAAGCATCTTGGCCACGTAGCTAATAAGGAAAATGGATATGGCATGACAAAAGATTGATGATCATACGTGCCTGATCTCATTTTGACAAAGGGTTTGGCCAGTGGGATTGGGACATGTATGATCATAGGATTCTTTTATCTTTTTGACCATATCCCCTTTGTCTTTTTTAAATTCTACATTCTAAAGCCATCAAACCATTTTCTTTTGTTTTTCTTTTCGATTTCTATTATTGCGGAGGGCATTGAATAGAACTTTACCTTCGGGGCCGGAGTTAGAAAATCTACTATATATTTGCCAAAAATATATTTGCCAGCATAACTCAAAGAAAAAAAAAACTTTTAAAATCCTAAAATTGGCATTGATGGTAATAGCTATTACTACTATTAATTTGATTTTTTTAACAAGTATTGTACGAAATAGTTGGCGCCTATTGGATCCGAGATCAATCATTTTACTTGTAAAAGGAAGTTTTTTTGCCCTTTTAAGTTAATTGGAAAAGTATTCTTCAAAGTTGAACGTGCCATTTCTCTTGTTTTCCTCACGTGAAAACAATCCAATCAAGTATGTTTTTCCTCCTCTCACTACTCTTTTGGTGATGAGGGTAAGAAAGTTCCTCCCTCGTCCCCTATCGACAGCTTCAATGAACCTAATGTTTTCAACTTCTAGTTGCAGACAACCAATTTGAAACAATATTGTTTTTACCCTAAACCCACGATTTTAGAATAACTTTAATACGATGGTTTTTTTTTTTATGCCATGAGTTGATATATGGACCTAAATTTCCTCGAAAATTTGAGCTGTAACATCAAGAGAATTGGAGGTGTAGATAATCTCTAGTCTTTCATTGTCTAATCAAAGACTACTCCTACAAAAACAATATTTGATGGTATCCACCAAAGTGAATATATAAGTATATGTTAGTAATACTATAATACAATGAACATTTAAGAGAATCTTTGTCTCTACCGACAATTATTTTGGTTTGGTGGTGAGTGACTCATCTTTGGCTGTTATCCTTTTCCAAGACCCCTTGACTATTTTGAGGCAGAAAGCTGGCGTATGATTTTTCTTTTCCATAAATAAAGGTTCATTTATTTTGACATTAAATATTTTTTTAAGATTTATACTTTTTTAAAAAACAAAAAATTTATTTTAAATATAAGACATTTTACAAGTTAACGGAAAAAACCTTTTAATCACGTAAAATGTCTTATATTTTTAAGATGTGTAAGACATTTTTTTAAAAAGAAAAAGAAAAAACTCGTATGCTAAGAGTAACAGTATAAGTTTGATAAATATTAATATTTAATTAAAAATATTTAAAAATAAAAAATATTAATATTTAAATTTAAAATATTTTTAACTTAAAATATTAATATTTAAATTATTTAATACTATTAAAATTAAAGAAATAGATTACTAAACGAATCATTCAAAGTAATTAATATTTTTATCTATAAATTAAATAAATCTTACTAATAATTAAAACAAAAAATATTTCAATGATAGTCATTTGATGAATAAACATTTATAAATATAGGTTTTTGATGTTTTGTACAATTGATTAATATTGGTATTCTTATAGTGTTATGATAATGATTTGGTGGAATTTTTTTTAAAAAAATAGAGCTTATTTTTAAAAATTTTGGAAAATATCATTATTATTTTTTCTATTTTCATTTTCATTTTTAATTGTAATATGAAAACCAAATAGTACTATTGTTTTGTAATCCATTTATATTTATCATTTTAACATCTAAATAACTCCATTACTGAGGATAAAAAAAATTTTCTACAAAATGATCTAAACAATAAAAAATGTTTTGCGACAGTTTATTTAAAAGTAAAATATCTCATCCCTTAAGTTTTAATTAAAATTCTAAACGAGTCATTAGTTTTTGAAATAGATACATAATTTCAATCGTTAGTGCTTTTGTTAATTTGATAACGTAATAATACTGAAAAGATAATTTTATGATTTATTTAATTTTAAAAATTACTAATTGGTGCTCTCCTCTCCTAGAGAGCATCAATTGATGCACCCTTTCCTTAGAGAGTTGGGGAGCACCAATTAGTGCTCTTTGAATCTTTTTTTATTTTTTTATAAAATTTTTTAATAATAATTTTTTAAATTAATAAAGAAGAAAAGATATTTTAATTCTTTTATATTTTTTATTAATGATGATTAAGGGTGTTTACACTTTTGAGATAAATTGTTCATTTTTAATACTAATAGACCCATGTAAAACTATGTCTAAAAGTTAAAACGTGAAGTTTTTTATACTTTATTTAAATAATAAAAAATATTAAATTTTTTTATAAAATATTACGCATGAAAATTTTTTTCCCAACAAGTTATTTTCCTGTCACTAAACGGTCCTTAATTTATCAAGCAATTATCAAGCTTACAATTTAACACAATGCTACTCCCTCTTTATCTAAATTTTAAGTTAATTAATTTGATTACATAAATTTAATTTAAAATAAAAATATATGATATTGATTGAGCATAATGAAATAATAAAAAAATTTATTTAAATTTTATTAAATAATTTAAAATTTTTGGAAATATTATTTTTTTGATACTCTGTCAAGTTCTTTAGCATTTTAAGTTTTAATAAACAACAATAGAACGTATTATAATGAAAATAATGATTTGAAATGGAATTTTTTTTATTGTAACCATTTTTTTCCATTTAATTAATGACATGTTTGCATGAGGTTTGTGTAAAGTAAAACTAAAATCCATTGCCCTCATTAATGCAAAAGAGACCAAGTTGTTCCAATTGGCTTTATAATTGAAAGCGTTTTTGAAAAAATTGAACTTGTTCTATTTCTGAGGGCTATGAATGTGATGGTGAGCTAATGGCTCCGTGCGGGTTTCGTCAACTTCAACTTGGAAACCAAACAAATAAAAAAGAAAAGAAAAAAAAGTAGTGGTGGGTTATGTCACTTTTACAAACTTTTCAAGTCTGGAAGGCTCTTCACACCTAATACAACCTTCTTAACAAATTAGGCAGCCCCACTGTTCTTGGTCACTCTCTCGTGTGGTCCTGATGGCAAATCATTATCCTTTCTTGGCTTCTTTTTCCCCTTTTTTGGTTAATAATCATCACTCTTTTCTTCCATATTTATTGCCATGCTGAATGGATATTAGTAAATTATATCTACCCTAGGTGTAGACCATAACAATTTTATAATATATATAAATATATAAATCGTTAAAATTTAAAATATCAATTTAAAAATTTTAGATTTGAAGTCACAACAATAGGAGGACAATGAGGTTAATAGAATGAAAAATGATTACTTTTTATTATGTAATTAAAAATTATTTAAGTAAAAAAAATTAATTA